CAATTGTATGTAATTTTCAAGAGCATCCACGTGCTTCGAATACGTCAGTTAATTTACTTTGCTGAGTGTAATATGCAAACGAACCATACTTATAAAGACGGTTCTTGGCCATTGACCCACTGCATCCTTGATCTGGGTATTTGTAACATTAAGATATCAAAAATGCACTCCATACCTAAAAATTCAAATACTATTCGTATAAATGGTTTTTCATTAACCAATTTACCTAACTACGACTCAAAATTTTCATTTGATAAATATCACTTGAATACAGTTATAATTGAGATAATTTTGTGGATTTAACAATAACGATTCGTTTGGATTGAATTATGTCATAATATTTGGCATTCACTCAATTGTCGCATTAATTTTGTATCGCAGCCGCTAAATTCCGTTCGGGGGGAGTTAAATACTTTGTCTCAGCATGGGGTCTCGTGGGAATAATTCACAACGGCGGAATGTTTGCGTCTTCTCACACCGGGTCTGAATGACAAGATATTATCACTTTTTGCGGAAGGAATTTCTGAGACATCATCCTCCCAAATTATAGAAATCTCATGCTGTGAAACTTGATAAACAAACTAATGGACCTATAATCCTATTCAAGGCTCGCCAGCATAATTTTAATAGTAATTTGAAATCGCCGTGAATATATTCTCGCGACTCGTTAATTCGATTTTCGTATTCGATTTACGGTTGTGGCGGAAGTATTTTTTATCAATACCAACACTACTGGCACAAGACGAAAATTGTAAATTTGATGATTTATTTAGAGGTTTACACGTAGATGCAAATGGCGAATTAAGAGATATTAATTCAATTCTTTAAGAAGACATTTCTACGGAATTTCTGAAATTATTTAAAGATGAAATCCAATTACTAAGCTATACAAAAATATAAAATTTGACAGTTGCTTTGGAATAAATGAAAATGAGTGTAAAATATTATTTGTTAAAGATTTCCGACTGAACAAAATCATTTATAGAAATTCACGCGATAACGTAATGACGTTATCATGTGACGTCATCTACCAAAGTTATTTCCGTATTGCAATATACGACGGAGCAATTGGCCTACCTCTTCAACATGTTCGCGTTCTCATTGATTACACCAACTTAGTTCGTAATCCATTTCTAGAAAATTGGAAAAAAATCATTGATCGAATAAAAAATTAAAACTAGAAAAATATACTCATCGGAAACATTTAAACATTTGGAGCGATAATAATTTCTACATCATGTGAATGGCATATGTTTTGGCGCCAGGTAGCTTTAATCATAATGTCATACAAATTCGCAAGGGGAAATATTATGTTGGTGTTGAAAGATTTCTAAGGGAATATACTGCCAGCGATCGTTTTCTAGTCAGAGATACTATTAATGAACACGAAGTCCAAAATAATGTCAGAAAACTGTCGTCAACAAGCACCTAAATATCCGGTGACGAGCGTTAAGAAATTAAAATGTTGTCGTATAAGAAAATCGGGACAAGAACTGCTTATGTATTACAATGTGGCCATATTTTGAACATATATTTGTCGTAATCACTATGAACTATAATGAACTACGATTGTATGTTTTAAGATTGGGCCTAACTAAACGCACAAAAATAGCAATCAATACCCAGTATGTGAGTGGATGTGACCGATGTCATGACACCTAATAAATAGTGAATCCATTATAACTTCATCATAACTCATGTCCCACGGGACTCTTCCCTAGACAGACTGTCGTCGATTTATGCCGATGAAGTTTACAGGAACAACCATTTAACCGATTAGCCATAGATCATGCACTTCAATAAAATTATTTTTCGTCCGGAATAGATTACTTAAAATGTTCTTCCAAAAAAGTTTGGGATATACACAAATAGAGCCTCATAACCATATTTCAACAACGGCATGATGTTAAAAGGTATTATGTCCCGATGACAAACGCCACAACAATGAAATTAACATCGAAAGCATGTTTAAACGATTAGGTTCTTGAATTGCATCAGATAAACATCTTTCGTAAATAACTTTCAAAATGGGGTGTAAGTACGTCACAATGAGTATTTGGCGTATAAAAAACCTATTTTATATATTACATCCTGACAGAGCATTTTCAAATGCGATGTATTCGTCATTCTTTCGGTTCATTCATTGTTCTCTAACCGATGCTTGTTCTTTTTTTTGTATAGAGAGTTATATCCGGCTGTCGCAAATAAATGTTTTTTGATTGAGATCTCATCGCGGTTTTTGCCAACAGTCGGTTAGTTGTATTTGGATGTCCCTTCGTGTCACATAGTGGTTGCTTATATTAAATCGTTTTGTCTGTAGGGACTTGGGAAAAGGTTATTAGTAGAGTTACTCCGTGGGAAACATTGGAGTTGACGCTTTTCATCTTTGGTGCCGTGATGCTCCCATTGGACGCATTAGATTGTTGTATACAGGCCAGGGTCACCGACATCGCGGTAATTTAAGACGGTTTGGCAAAAGATCGCCCAGGATAAGCTGATTCATTAAGTCGCACTGATTCACCAAACACGAATTTCGTACACAATACGCGATATGGGAATAAAGGAATCTCGATTCGATTAACCGGAAATCAACAACAAATTTTTATTACCGATTTCATGGAACATGTTTTGGTATTTAAAATCGACTATCAGATGTAAACTGATTTACTTGTATGGATACAAAATTTTATACCAACATTACTTTCTTTTTTCCTTACGTCAAACAACATTTAAAAACAGTTTGTTATTCTTGTGGCGGTTGATTTTCGACGAAAACAACGACCCGTTCGGTCTAGGGACAAAACAATCAGATTATTAACAATTAAGCTCGCCTCAAAGTCTCTTGCGCTCGAGGTAAATACGAGAGAAAGTGGGTGATTTGTACCGACCCAGTCTCGATGTGGGGCATTTTCAAAGGGATTACCTCTGGGTAAGGATTACGTTCCATCACCAGCAAGTGACAAAAGGGTCGTTTCTGCTTGAAGGTAAAAAGCTATCGATAAGAAAATTAAAATTCCATTGTCGGAAAGAAAAGCAGACGAACAAACAAAGAAGCATAAACACTGTCGAAAGGTTAAAATGCAATAAAGATTATGACCGAAATGAATGCAGTATATATAGGCAACAATCTTAAAATAATACTTGTTTTTGTTATGCTACAGATATATTTAAATAATCATTCATTTTATTCAATTATTCATTCGAGTATGAGTCGGGTGTAGGCCACGCATTCGATTTTTGTGGTATATAAGTATGAGAGAAAAATTTTGATCGAAAAAAACACTCATAAAGTGTTAATTTTTCTACAATATATCCAGCATTGTTATCCGTGATAGGAAAGCCTACGAGTTACTTTTATACATAAAAGTGAGGATGTGTTATTTAATTCTTTGAAATAAAAAAATGTTGATTTTTCATCAAAAAAATCTCAATAAAAAGATGAGAATTCTCAGACGGGACAAATAGATCGTAGGTGTCAATGTAGATTTTGACAATCACTCTACAAATAATTTGCTTGTATCTACATATCACATAGTAAATTGATTATAGAGATAACTCGAATAAAAATGAGAAGATGTCATAAAATTGAGGTAAATAATCTCATTATCCAATATTTCGTATTAATGCAAATTTTATATTTAAATATAAATTCCAAACATCATTTTTATTCATATACCTAATTTGTGATATTTACAAAAATTTGAAAACAATAAATAAATAAAATTAGTATAAAAAATACAATTAACGGGTAAATATTTTGCTGTAGGTTTGGTTTAAAATTAAAATAATCGAATAATAAGAATTCGACACTCTCATGTATCTCGTAATTATTGGATTTCATAGTAGCAAGTATAAACCATTAGCGCTGAATTCGGATAAAAAAATTGCCTATAATGGATAAGATCACATAAGAGCTTGTTGGAGCATGTGATGCAATACATATCCCTCGCAATTGAAATTCTCAAATTGCAACATTCACAGACAAAAATTTGTGTTTCCAAACTCCGTCGCTGTTTTAACTTCGGAATTGTTTATCCATCTAAAGCTTAAAGCTAGTAATAGGTGCGCTATACGTCAAGCCTCTCTTGTAGTTTATATAAGCCGGTCCCTAATCCCTCTTGTGTTAAAAGCCTCACGCTGGTATCGGTCAACTGATTTATTCAGTGTATCTAAGGGCAAATGTATATTTGCTAAAACTTTTTAGTTGTTTTATCGAATTTAAGGTTTTCAAGAATAAAACGATAGATTGATTATCATTTTAAAACAGGGCCAACGATATTATAAAAACTGTGAAATAGAAGTTGTTTTTCTGTTTACTTTTACTTCCAATGAAATAAAATATTCTCCCGAAAACATACAAAAAAGGTTTTCAATCCAAACTTTTTTCTGACCCAGACAGGCCACAGTTTATACCCATAATAACTCGAGTTTACAGATTATCGACTTAGGCGCGAGAAACAAAACGTGACATGGAGGAAGAAGTGCGCGGCCGTCGTCGCTGACGCGTTTCAGCAGTGACAGTATATTATAATAAAAATAAATGAAAAACTTCTTCCCGAGTTCGAATGGACAAGTTCTCACTCTGTTTGGAATTTAGATCGAGCAGTATATATGAATAATTTGTCCCAGTTAGTCGTTCATGGACAACATCCGGACTTTGGTGACAAAGCATGTTATAATCAAATTTTATATTTTAGTCGTGTGAATAAAATTTAATCGAAATCTTGGCCAAGATCTGTCTTCGACCAAATAAGGAAAATGGGAATGAAATAGTACCTGAGCGATTTGCATTTTTATTTCAAATTACAGTCAACTTCTCGTTATATTTATTTTCATGAAAATTGCATCAACCAGTGGAGTTTTGTAAGATTTCTTGCACAAAAATGACAAAAAAATGTATTTATTGTGTCTACATAAGACTAGATTGAGTAGCAAGACAGACGCCCCGCGTTTTACCAGACAGATTCTCCGTGCGGTCTATATCGTTATAGCGGCGAGAAGAACGCCGTATTCTCGGAATCGATTCAAGCGGATATCAGCACGAACCAAAGCGGACATTTTAGAATTTCTTGCAATAAAGGGAAAAGTATAAAAAGAAGGTATTTTAGCATTGTATAATGTATAGTGATATTTGGTCAATAATGAATAAAAATATTAAAACACTAGAAGTAACCAAGTTTCATTAAAGACATTTTGGATGTTAATTTTGCAAGTATTTGGAATGAGTTGGTATTTATGATACCTATTGCGTTATCTACGTTGTAAAAGTACATTCTGGTTCAGTTGATTGCAAACCAAATCAATCTATTGCATTGAAAACCTAAAGATCAATTGCTAAAACAGGCTATTTTACCCTGTGTGCATGGACATTTTGAAACCAGAAACGTTATAATTTGAATTAATTTATTCTCTCGTGTTAATGAAAAAGAATTTAAATTTAAACTTATAAAGTTCTTATATTTCACTTTGAATTTCATGCTGCAAACCAGAAAACTTATTTCGAAATGTTTACAAGTGATAGTTGAACAGAAAAATATTGTCGTGGTATTTTGGAAGAACAAAAATTGTATTTAAATTATGCATCTTTTCAAATATTTTATATAACAACACAAATACCAAATATTATTTGACGATTTTTTTTCTCAGCGTTTTAGGAACATAATTTAACCCGATTATATTACATAATCTTTTTATATATATATATGAATTCATTGTACAATATTAGTGCATTTTTTATAAACAAAAATTGTTTATACATGTTGCTATATGGGTTTATTTGTGTATATTAGAACGTAGTACAAAATAAATATTTTTTCACATAATTTTTACATAAACATAGTATTTTAAAAATGTTTTATTTTAATTTTTAAATAAAGTATACCGATATAAAAGTTGGATACAAATTAATATTTGCTAAGCATTATTGTGTGGATTTCCATGTTATCCATACTGCTTAATTTCGAAGGTAATTCGTGTATTGGGTAATAATTTCACAACTAGTAGAACTCAACCAAACGTAATTAAGTAGTCGTATGAAAAGTTGAGATAAATTCACTGCATTATAACGTTATAACGTCATGTCGGAATTTAAGAAATAACACTCCCGTATTGCAATTTATCCTCAATATATCTTTCTTGTGTTATTTTTCACCCAATGTATTGCGAGAAGTACTAAGAAATGCGCGTAATGTCAAGTAGAAGCGGATATTACGGGACGGTAATCACACTTGTTAATTACTTATTAAATAGCCTATCATTGGTATCGTGAATTTATCCAGAGTATTTTTAAAACAGCGAAATCGAAAATGTGGTGCAACACAGTTCAAGGAACGTTGCCGACGCATTAACTCACTGCAAACGTTGTTATTAAAATGGCGGCCAAATACCGACGCGACTAATTGCATACGCGGATATAATATCGACGAGGGCAAGCGATTTAACACTGAACGGTAGCATCGAGTTGTATTGCTATGCTGAAATTGCTTAATAATAAAAATAGGAGCATTTGGTCATTGCCGGTATGTATCGCCTTATACTCGTTGAAATCTGAAAATTGGAAAAATTTATTAAAAAAATCATGAAATGCGAAATAATGATATATTTTACTCAGTACTGCCTCATTATCATAATATTTTTTAGATCACAATCTTATATCTGGCTATTTAAAAAAGTAATCGTCTCTCTAAGGCTCTTTTTAGCTTCAAATCAATATTGAATATAGAGACCGCTCATGTTATTTAGAATTCAGTGCCATATAACACGAATCAACAAATTACAATTTTCAACAATAAATTGTTAATTATTAATAGTTGAATCCGAGAACACGTTGACGAAACTGTTTATGGAATTCTACATTTTGTAAATCTGATCTCAATAGTTTGTAGTAATTAATACTAGTATAATTTAACAATCAATTAAATTAATGAAGATTAAATTCTCTATATCTTTAGCTAGCATATTTTTAATTCGATAACTTGTCTTAGATTGTACTTAAGGGAAGTAAAAAAAGTTTGGCTAAAGAAAGAAATATATTGCCACAATTGATATTGTTGTCTTCCAAATAGCACTTTACCTGTAAAATTACCTTGTTTTTAATATATTACATGTCAGGCTATATTTAAAAAGATTTTTTTGAATATATGTTACGCTGAGCTAAGAATTACATTTTTCATCTTTGAAATCTTTTTGGAAAATATTAGTACTCTGTTATCCAATTGCCTTGAATGCTCCAAAGATGTAGAAAGTTAAACTTTAAACAATTCTACTAATATTTTGTTGTAAATACAAAGTTTTTAAAGCTTGATTTTCAAATTCATGCCAAAATTATGTCGTGACTTTTATTCAGTTCTATGGACAATTCATCAACGCGACTGTATTACATTCAAATTCGAGTAAAATAAACAATTTATTCAAGTGGATTTTCAAAAGTTATGGATAGATTTCTTCTGATATTCCCTAATAATATTTGACATAAACTAATGGGATTAGCGCCAAGATGAGCCTTAAATCGGACCGAACAGAGGGGTGCATTTGCTACAAGGGTGAAAATCCTCATCGACATTTAGGCCTCACTGAATCTAAGACATATAAATCATACAAACAATATTTCAATATGTTTCTAATGCAGAAAATATCAACCGAGTGTCATAATCAATTTGAAAAAAAAAAACGAATACAGCTTTTTATATTTACGCTACGTTACCGATGGGAAATTATAGAGGACCATTCGGGAACAAAAAAAAATTCAGAAATTTAAAAAATATTTTTGGTACACTCGTTGGTTGTCTAAAATGCACTTTTATTACACTTTTAATAAGTTAGTGCACGTAAATTCGCGAATGAAAAACATAACAAAATGATTAGTGAAATCGTCTCGCTCAAGGGGAATTTGTTGTGTGTGAGATGTAGTGTGACTTTAGCCAGGTCTTTATCATGCCTGCAATGTGCTTTACATATGATTTGATTACACTTCACTTGATTTGTCTAAAACGTGATTCGATTTTGAATACGGCGTGAATTATTTTGCCATATTCAAACATCACAATTGTGCTTCCATGGAAAATTGAAAATTCAATATTGCAGGACTCTGTCATGTAATACCAAGAAATCATATTAGACCTTAACGGATTTGCCTAATGATGAAAAAGCGTTACATTCCAATACACAATTTGGGCACGTCGAGGAATAGAAGAAGGGATATAGAGTCGCAAAATTGACGCGTCATGAACAGCACAAATAAACAGTAGACGTGGCCTCATATTTTTGAACTTAGAATTGTGATTTTAGAAGTTGTTATAATCGCGAAAATAAAAATAGAATTGTACATGGTATGTTTTAGGAGAACCCTTCAAGATCCGCGCCATATACTATTTGAACTGAGGTATTAAGAAAACCAGTCAATTTATAGTGAAGCACCAGAAAAAGCACGACAATCGTCCCAGCGTACGTGCGAGGCGATGATTTTATCAATATAGGAATAAATTAAGACGTCTTCTAAAATCAGTGCTAATCGTCGCAATGCAGATGCCTATGTTTATGTCATGTCGTTGGGTGAAAGATAGATGGTGTTTTCATGGAAATTGACACTTCTGTTGATCACGAAGGGTGATGAAAAAATTGCTATGACAAGCTATATCTTTTTTTGATCTAGACTGCCATCTCATGTGCCGCGACTGTTCTCGTTATCTTTCGTGTAACTTCTATTATCGGATGTTAATTGATTGATTGATTTTGGTTTATAAGCTGCAGTTTTGGCCAATTGCTTTCATAAGAACGATTGGATTTAGGTCTTTTTTGGACTGACTGCATAAGTAATTCCATCGCAAAAAGTACTTTAAAATGCAGCAAAATTAACACTTAGTACCTATATTATGACTACGAAAAATTAGTTTTTTTTTTCAGTATGCAATTTTTAAAGCTTCAACGAACAAACTGATTCATCATCTAGTATCAAGGATTTGTTAGCCTATTTGGCACAATTTTGATTTAGTATTTTGGCGACAGAGTTTTGTTAATTTAGGACAAATGTGTGCAGTGGTCTTGGATAAATATAATACAAACAATAAGCAGTTGTAAGTCATAACTGATTCAATATCTACATTGATTATTACAGGTATGTTGTCGTTGCGGATTATAAAATTATACATTTGTAATGATGATGTTTGGATCAACCGCTTCGTCTTCATAGTAATTAGTTGATCTTATTGATTTTTTAAGAAGAAACGATTTATAAATCACCTATCCTTCACCAAAAAATAAATTTTTTTGACAGACAGTCGTTAATTTTTTAGTGTTTGCGCTTGTTATTTTGCTTGGCAATTACGCTAATTCTGACAATAATGAAGCGAGATATTGTGATCTTGTCATTAGGCAGGTTTCAGTATAAATTAAAATCGCAATTATCGTGCTATAAATTAAAATCGCAATTATCGTGCTATTCAACTATGATTTGCGTTTGATAATGATCAGCTTCAGAACAGGCGCATGCAATAAAAATTATTTTATAAAATGCGCTTATAATTTGTATAATATATATTATACTAGCACGTGTAATGGGACGCTATTAGCTTATTTTGATTACCTTATTTGAAAAAAAAAATGGGTGGCATTTTGGGAGGTTATTACATATACAGTGGTTTCATTATGAAATGCAAAAAATCTCGAGATTCAAGGTATTACATAATATTATGCAAGGTAGGCGGCATAGATTAAAATGAATTTACTATAAAAGTCCGTGGTTTGAATATACTGTGGAATTACTTACATAAAGTAATATGGAAGACTCAAGAATGCATCATGTACCAGCGCCATTCATATCTGTAGTATCGTTACTCTATCGAGTGAAGCAGTTTAGAGTTCTTTGCTTTGTGCCGTTTTTTTTGGTTCCCCACAACGAAGAATCTATCAATTTTTGTACCATCTAAATGAAAAAAACTTAAAAAAATAATACTTCAAAACAACTGATTCCATCATGTTTAACTTTTATTTTATTTTAACAGATTCATGTATAATTTTGGTATTTATTATGACTAAATAATGACTGCATAAAAGTTCATCAAGCTCGGAGGAGAAGAAGAAACGAATTGGCTGATATCAGAATTATAAAAAAGGTATTTGATCAAGTTTAAACTATAGGAAATGAATAACTTTATAGTAAAAAAATTTAATTTGCGTACTGACAGCTGATATCAAGTTTCCTTATTAGTGATGTTTCGAAAACATAAAACAAAATAGTTCATCAGTCAGTATCGAAATATTTTGAGAAATACTCAAAAAGATTTTTGTAAAAAAAAATTTAAAATATTTTCGCATCAAAAGTTTGCTGACGACATTAGCTCGGGGATAATAACAGCACTGAAAATATAATAGATCCGCCCTCCTAGCCCATGTTTCGGGGCAAAAAAAAGTGAAAACGGCGATCGAACTTCAAAAACACTCACAATAACCCGAATTTATTAATAAGAGAGTTGAAAGCAAATGAGCATATTTGTAATCAAATTATAAATTTGTCAGAAATCACATCAAAAAAGATGAGAATACTCAATGATTTAATAATTTATATAGTTTTAATTTAAAAAAAATGCCTCCTAGATAAATTTGAATTTTTTTGCAAAAAGCGATGATAATGGAAACTTATGAAACTAATTTGCAAAAATCACATAATGTTGAGACCGCACAAGATAACCGAGTTCATTGTATTGAACTGACAGATGCAGCAAAGATAAAGTTCGTTTAACAATTTATATTGTTAATAAACGCATAACCCAAGGCATGTAGAAGTTTATTTATTTATTTCGAATTAGTGGCTACTCAGATCGCTAGTATCAAGATAACTAAGTTCATTAAAAACGACAAATCAAGTCTTTCCGTCGTAAATATTTTCATTCTGAATACATAAATGAATTTTTTTGGAAATCGTAAATTTGACTTGGAAATCGCAATAATGACATAAATTATACAGTAAAATGAAATATTTTTATAAAAATTTATATTGGCTATTCAATAATTCCAGAAATTATTATTTAGGACTTGATATTACCTAAAATTATACTTGGATCTCTGTTAAATATTGCTTTTAAAATAACTAACGGTGGTGCTAGATTGGTTTATGGAGGACTGCTGTCATTTAAAAGATATAGTCAACGCTCAACATCCATTTTATTTTATTTTTTATGTTGTGTGCTCATAGCGCGAAATTCCTATTTGAATCTCATGTTCTGATAAATCGGTCCGGCATACCGAAAATGACATTTTATCTCGAAAATTGAAAAAATTTACGTTAACTCAATTACTGGAAGCCAAAATTTTGCATTAGCGCTAAATCTATGCTTAGTTTGTTCAGAGTGGGTCATCAATGTTGTCGGTTGAGCTTGAGTTGAGCCATAAACATGCATTTATCATACCGCGCCACGCTCCATGATCACGGTCCGTTTCATCTCGCGCGACGACAGACTTACAATGGATGTGTGCTAATCACTTTTCTTTCTTAACAGTCATTATTCTTCATAAAGTAGTGATTCGCCCAGATCGTGGTATGGCTAATCCGGACAGATAATGGGGTCTTGAGGGGTAATCACTACAGCACAAAATCAACAGTAATCAACGGTTCCAGGAGTTTGGCTTAGATTTTAAAAGGTTCCCCTAATTCCGTCATCAGTCATGAGCGTTCACAGTCCGCCAATCTCAAATGATTTCGTTTAGTGAGTTCTTTGTGTTCGTGTGACATTCGTGTTCTTATTTTAGAAGATGATCACAATGATTACAACATTTATAACATGTAACAAAGCAATAGTAACACAAGCAAATAAACAAATATATTACATTCTTTAAATGGATGGTCACAAAATGTCTCCAAGTTGAAAATATAGTATTATTAAATTTAAGACAAAAACAAATTTTTAAAATTGGAGATCACATATTCACATAAGACTTATATATAATATAAATGGTGGATTTATAATTTTTTTAATGCACAAAAAATATAAATCATATTGTAACTATTTTTGATTCATTGTTTCTATTTTTCTTTTGTAAACTTTTTTTAAAATTTTAGGGCTGTGACTATTCAAAGTTAAACTATAAACCAGGGCTGCCATACGTGTAAAAAAACAACAGTTAATTTTATAAAAAAAAAATTGAAATACCATTCATTATATATGACTTCATTCAACTTTTTGTTATCACAACGATGAAGTCAATTCAAAAGCATATTAAATTTGTTCCTTTTTGCTCCATTCAAGTTTAATCTCGGACCCAAAAAATCAGGTTCGACTCACATCTTTGCAGTACAAACAACTTTTAAATTTCCGTCCGGAATTAACATCACATCAATGGACATTCGATATAGCAAACAACAGAATATTATCTTCTTCTGAAGTCGAAAATGATATCACGACATTGAACCGTAAACAATCGTAAGTCGGTAATCCCTTTCCAGGTGTTATTTCATCGATATTTCATCAAATCCGTCGGGGACTTGAAAGATGGCGTTGTTTAAACATTCTTAGAAATCAGAGTAGGTAAACGCATCCCGGGGCTCTTTTAGGGTCGTTGCATTTCTGTCTTCTTGGAATTTTAATAGTTTAAAATGAAATGAAACGAGAAGATGTCGAAATACACTAACATATGAAAAAAAATTAAATGAAGAGGAATGTTATATTCATATTGACGGTATTTTTGAAACGAATGTATACTCTTTAGTTAAACTGAAAAAATTATGTATATCTATTGGAAAAAGGTCAAGATATTTCCAATAATTTACAACAAGAAAAAGTGAGTTAAATAACTTCTTCTACTTGTGAAATTCAAGTTTAGCTATTGTGATATTAGAGTAATATTATAAAGTAGGTATTCATTCATTCATTTTGTTTTTCGTCGAGGAAATGAAAAACCTTTCAAATAATATGTAGTAATATATTGAAAAATTCACACACCGCTCTTGCCTGGGCATAACATATTGTGTTTGTCGATATGCTAAATCAAGTACGATCGTTCATTATTTTGCGGGTTGATAATTACATTGCTTTTTGCTTCCTTGCTCAATGACAGAAAACACTCGTGTGGTGTTACGGCAATTTTTTCAATCCTTGTTTATTTTTAGTTGCCACGGTGAAATTGGAATCGTTCTTCGGAGCGTTAAATCTTTCCATATATAGTTATAAACCACATCTAATTTAGGCTTCCAAAGAACTCACAGCCAAGATAAACGAAAATGTTATTTTTTGTTGGGAAACATAAAATTAATTTTAACAAAGTTGACGGCTGTCCCAAATAATCTATTTTAAGCGAATAGTAATTTATGTAAAATAAAGAAGTGACAAAAACTTGATTAACTTTTTAGCATAAATTTCCAAAAGCGATTCTTGAAATATTGGTACCATTTTAATAAAATAAAGTTTACATGATTACAAACTGTAGCCTTATTATTATATGATTTCAGTTAATATTTGAAATAACATACAAAACTAGTCACTTTAAAATAGTTAACAATTAAACAACTTGCGCTGAAAACATTGTGATAATATTGGAATGAGTGTTGCACTTGCTTCTTCAGGTCAAATACTCTGCAAGGCCAAATTAAGTCACAATATGTTCGTTGTAGAATGTAGAATAGTTTACTTTTGTTACTTGCGGTCTGTTATTGAATCACAATTTTGAACGAACGAATTTTAACACGATTGTACAATTGTATTAATTAATTAATTGAATTAATTAATTATACAATCACAGGTCGGCTTGTTCTAATTGTGTTGTGACAGTTGAGATCTCGAGACCTTGCTTTAGGAAAACTTGTACTATTTATAATTAATTCAGATGTACACTTATAAGGAATCATGTTATTAGTATAAGCTCTTCAAGTTTCTTTTATATCGGACGCTTTAACTTTTTAGGTCATTTGTCCAACTTTATCAGTATGCACGGTGGAATATGCTAGTGAGATTCCCCTTTTACAAAATCACATCAATATATTAATAATTTCCGAGTCGGTAAATAAAGATTTGTTATCAAAATTATCGGTGATAGACAATGAGCGCCAAATTAGTTAGGTCGATAGTAGTATCACATTGAGTTAATCCGATTTCGCAATTGAAGTATTTTGTCTCATACTCGCTTGCATAAATCGTGCGAACAATCATCAAGCTTCGTATACGCTTTTAAATTTCTCAACACTGAGACTGTAAGCAAATCAAAATTTTAGTAGCTCTGGTTTTTATCCAAATATACTTTTCCAGTCGCACGAAGACAAGTTGTATAAACTACAATTCCCGATTAATAAATAAATCTTGACAATGCTTTCGACACTTTACGAACTTCAGACTATCTTGCCGCGGGCTGACGCTTGCGACATTGGCCAGACAGAACAGAAGTAAATTAATTTTTCAAATTTTTTCAAATAATTTATCATTGATATTAACATTATATTAGGTTGAGCGTTTTGCCCCACACAAACGTCTTTCTATATTATAGTTTGGTTTTGCTGACAATTTAAAGAGATGGCAAGAAAAGAATAACAAAAACATTTCTTCATTTTTCTCATTTCGAAGACTCTATAAATTTATACTGAACAAAGTTTTTGTCAAACTCAATATTTTCGGTTTAACCTGGCTCTAATTTAAAAGTCTAAACCCCACTTTTTTTAAAGTAACCACGATTTGTAATGAACTTCAAATACTAATATTTATGCAATGAAAATAGACTTTCGAAGAAACCCATATACGAGGTTTGTTTTTGATTTTTTAGATACGCAGGCGCATATTCTTCCGCCCCGTGGAACGTCGATTCTTTTCGAAACCAAATTCGAATCCCATTCGAATACGAATCCAAGCGGGTCTAACATAATAATTTAAGATCTATAGCCAGGCGCGTTTTCTTCAACGTTTCTATCGCCAGAGTCATGTTGGGTGAAAGTTCGAATTACTAGGAAATCGTAGTAACTTTTCAACATTTCGTCTAAACGTCAACAGCAGATTTTATTGCAAGTTTGACAGTCTCGTATAACGAATCTTAATTGATATTGGATGAGCAAAGTTTTGCATAAACATACATGACAACGTTGTTGCCCCATATACATTATTCATTCTACGCCATTTCGTTTTAATTAGGAATAATTCTGTTAAAATAAATTGTCGAGAAAAGTTTCACACCCTTCTGTGTCCGTTGGACCTTTGAGACAATCGTCCGATATAACCTTGTCAAATACTGTCATGAATAATTGACGTATGCACAATACATTCATGTTTCCGATTAGACAGTAAATTCCAACACACGATGTTATGGATATAGTAATTATTACGTCTCGTGCAAAGTTCTGGACACTTTAAATAAATTTTCTAAAGTGATTAGACAACGAGTTCTGAGGTAACATTCTTCGAGTTATTTCACAGCTAAATGGATCCGTGTCCTAAGATAGCATTATTGAAATAAAATAGATGAAAACTTGTCTATTAAGCAACATAAAGTTTTTGAGCTTTTGTATTTGCAATAAAGCGAACATTATTTAATAACTAGTACAGATTGATTGGTCTCGTCGACTGTAAAGATCTTTAACATTGGTCTTAGAGGGGTTTCATTATTATTATATTTTCTGTCGATTGATGCCATTTTGTCTCTCAAGCTTTCCATATTCTAAAATCTAAATGAATGAAATATACGTGACAATTTACATTTACAAAGTTATTTGTATTTTATTTTTCTGTTTTATTTTGTATTGAGAATGTATTGTACGTAACAATACAAATGAACCAAAAATTACTTTATTAAAACCATAAAGCTTATTTGTTTTTATAAAAGTCACTGCCGACATTGTCCAGACTTCAAAACAATTTACCATTCAACAGTCTAAAATTCCTCAACCCATGATGAAACGTAATCTGTTTATTTTACTTACAAGCATCTGTGACAAATTTCAGATTTTTCAAAGAAATTATTCCTATATCCTTATGATTGTATGCAAAACAATTATTTAAATAAATTATAGTTCACTAATGGTCAATTAGATTTACTTTAGCAGTCAAATAAAAAAGCGGTGATTGATAATAGCACAGCTAAATTTATTTTTAATTAAAAGAAAACGAAGAATCATCACTTTCTGTAGTTCCAAACCTCCTAATATTTTTGAAGAATATTTTGTTACTAATTCTCGAACTGATGCTTTCGACAAAAATGGCGTAGTGGCAAGTACTGAATATATGATATGAGTTCGAAATGGTTAGAGATTGGCATAGATCACTCTTTACATTTTTCAATAAAGTATGGTCGGAAAAGTCAAAACTTAGTCATGTTCAAAACTCAAATACATCGATTTACTTGTAGAGACAAGTGAATAACTGAATATTTACGATTTACGTATCGAGTTTCATGTTGTGAAGCTCTCGCAAATGCTTTTATGAACTTTGACCCCGCAATAATATTATAGGAAGTCTTCTCTGAAGATAATTTTTCAATTATTGATAAAATAATTTTATTGTCATGAAATAACACGATTATGTATTAGTATTCCAAAATTTCGCATTTCAAATTCAGTGGCAGTCTCATTAATTCTCAGAAAATAGTTTTTGAGTGTTTTCAAGCAAATTACATTAAAATTGCATGGCGTCGTATGTAGTTTCTCATAGTTCGCTTACTAACTATTTCGTCTGTCGTCGGGATATGTTTTAGATCACATTGCGCAGATGCGTGGTATTTTGTGATGTTTTCGACTTTATTGTCGGCGTCGTGATGAAGATCAGGAGACGAAAAATATCAAAGGCGACGATGTACAGGTCAAATTATGCATCATTTTGCATTCCTTCTGATCGCAAATTTCGTACGAATGATTGTGATCAAAGAGATTTTACGATAGAAATAAAAAAGTTAAATAAAATTGTTCACAATAAACATTACGTATCAAATTTACGTGAAAGAGTAGTTCATGTTCTATTCCTTTGTCGCCGCTTTAGTTTTACAGTTATCCATATGGATGCATGTAAATATAACTAAAGAAATACGATACAGCAAGTCCACCGCTAAACAAGCAAAAATTACAAAGTTGAAAAGGCTAATTTTGGACTGTAGTGCAGTAAAGTACGATTCTATATGTAAATCTATTACAAAATAACGATTGTGCAGTTTTTTTTTTTAATTTTCTAAAGCCCTGACCTGAAAGTGGATAGAGTACTCATAGAAAAGTAGGAAGAGATAAGTTTGTCATATTTTCGGCAAAATATTCGAAAGATAGCGGAACTTCAAAACTCTACAGCTGGGAAACATTTGGGTGACTGTGGTATGGGTGCTTACGAATCTCATGAGTTGGGTTGGTGGTCCCAACAGCCACTTAACCGGCCCCATCCGTTGGGGGTTATTTAGCAGTCATGTCATTTATATTATTTCATCGTTTTACACCGTCGCACACGAAAAATTAATACTTGAAAACTTTTATTTTATTTTACCTAATCGATATTCGTTGATAAATTTATTCAATTTCGAAAATAAAATTTTTGTAATTGGAATGATTTGTTACAAATCTGATGATATTTGAATTATATATTTTTACTTTCGTTTCCTCTTCCCACTGCTCGTAACTTTAAAATGACAAAAAATATCTTCACTTAAGTGCAAGACATTACCTTTGATCTAAACGAAATGTCTAATACAAACCATCTATTAATTTCAATAAAACAGGAAAAGGTTCACCGCGTCGCTAAAATACTTTGCTATTTTGGGCCAAAGTGATATTTAGTGTTCGATGCCGATCTGACACCGGTTAATGTACAAACATACAGTAAAACTAGTTGCATTTTATGGTCATAGAATATAAATCTATATCAGTAATGTTTTCTAGTTACCTATGGGTCTATCTGTGCATAGGTCCTGTACAATGAAAATAAGATAAACTTCCGGTTAAATTTTATTGCTGAAAAATTCAAGAGATTTTTCGTTATTTTCATTATATTACATATTTGAAAAAAGCGTGCATATTTTAAATACAATTGAAAGACTGAAAGTATTTATTAATTACAGCATACTTTGACAACCATTAAAGCTGTTTTCACACCATTTAATAGTGTGCGAATTATCCGTCTAATCGTCATCTTAACATCCCGTGAGTGTACTACATGGCGAAATAATGAAAGAGCGTTTTCCCGCGAAACCTATAATTTTGTTGAAAGAAACAAGAAAAACACAGAATTTTAGCGACCATCCAATTAGTTGAAAGGTGTTAATTTTTGTCACTTTACCAAAATATTGTATAATTTCGAGTTGACTTCGCAGGAAACTTCCGAATAGCTTAGCGCAATTAAAACATTCTTTCTTTACTCGTGATTACGATAGAATACTAATTTAGGGCATAGGCAGGTGTTAAAATATATTAAAATGATAATTAAGAATAGACGTTCTATTTTGGGAAAAGTATCGAAAACATGGAATCTGCGGAAAGTAATTTACGCCAAATTTATTCTTTGATGTTCAGTTAGAAATATTGAAGTTTTGGGTTATTTGCACAAAATGGCGTCTTCGGAGTTCGAGATCTGATGATGTATGTTGCTAAACATTTTAATTCATTTTGATATTTCCTGTAGCAAAATTTCAGTTAAATTTACTAAAATTCCATTGTAATTCACTCTTGTTATTTGGGAGAATTTGAGAGTTATTGTAGGCAATATAGGTATAAGCAACACGTTCAATGAGGCTTTTCAACGCCAAACAATTGAACAACATCTAATCACAGTCAGTTATATTGTTAGTCGTAGATAAAGAGAGGAGAGGAGGGGTAGAATTAACCGTTAGTATGTGATATTCGTTTAAAACTTTCAGCAATAAATTATAAAACTTTTGACGCAATGCATCGTATTCACTTGTGTAAAAAATTGTCTCAGGTTTTGTGGATCGTAATAAAATAAAACTTGGTGTTAGGCTGAAAACTGAACTTGAAACAAATAAAAATTTTGGGCAAGAAATGTACATCTACAGCGATGCGCGGTGAAAATTATTTGTACTTTTAACATTTTCTCATCTTTTTCAGAAATAAAGGAAGGCCGGCGTTAACATATCTGGTAGAAAGAAGGAACAATGCTCGCTCATTATCAGGTAAATATATACGAAATATTAGTATTTGAGGGATTAAATGAATAAATATGTTCTTACTTAAATCCCAGTTTATAAAATCAGTATTTGTTGCAAATATTGGTATATCAACTAGCACCTCAATAATCATTATCATGGCGGAAGGCCTGTTTCACTGTGTCATCATCTCATAAGAAGTAAAGTGAATGATAAAATGGTACTCCCAACCCATCCGATGAGTGGGCTATTCCAAGCCGTACAGATTCCTAGATTCGGAGTAGATGAATAAGGAATATCCGATGACAGAGTGAAAAAGAAGATATGCATTTTTATTGTCCTTGTGCCACAGCAGAAGAATGCCGTGAATTAATGAAATGTCGCAGTTGTTTTATTCGAGTATTTTTTAAAACATCGTCGCTTTAAGCTGCGGTGTGTAAATTTCTAATCTTCAATAATTTATTGTGACAATATACAAAAATAATTACTAATCCGTCAAGTTTATTAGTTTTACAATGCAATTACATGAAATTCAATGCATTTATGCTGATAAGGTGTTTTTGTTAAAATATACATATATATATCCTAATAAACTTTATATTTCTATGAGAGTATTTTTCTTCCAAGATCATGTTATTCGATGTGACAGTTTTTGTGTAATTTCGTAATGTTTTAGGATGGAGACAATATAAAACGTCAGTATTAATCATGCATGAGAACAAAAAAAAAGAATTTGAAAATAAGTTGAGTTGGATGCTAACCATTAACACCCCCATTGAAACTGATACAGCCAGCTACGACTTAGATTAATTTAAACCTTTGCATAAAGTTTATCTGTAGCATTTCGAATCTTATGTTTGAGTAAAAGAGATTGGGCTGCCAGTAAAATTCAATATATTCATCTCAATTATCTACACGTCTTTGAAAAAAAAGTCATCATTTCATTGATGTGTATTTTAACATCAAGTAATAACTGATGATTTATCAAATTTTCTTATTTTAACAGGAGAACTTTCCTTCTTCCCATCTACTCATGGCACTGCCGTCGTCACTCGCAACCACGCCTCCCACAGAATCCCGATCGGTTTCACCACCGCATGTACCTACCACTACTGACATGCTTTATACTACCTGCCCATCGGAAAGAAGCGTTAATTCATCTCCCATCGACGCTGACGATAGCCGATTGGCTTTGTGTCGTCATAACGTGACAGGTTGCTCTGCCGGGGAATCTCTTAATTTGAGAGTCAATTGTTTTGGAACAAATGACGCAGTGGAATCGGGTACAGAAGGGTGTAATATCAAAGCCGATCAAAATTGTGAGTCACTAAAACAAAAAGTATGTGACAACAAAACCACAGCTGCCGCTGATGACTTGTACAGTATCTCCAACGATAATAGTACAGCGACCAAGGCAATTTTTGAAGAATTGTGTTGCAATTCACGTAAACGAAAAAGAAAATCACAGAATCCGTCACGCGTGCCAGAGACAATATTTGGGGATAAAAACCAGTTACCCAATGAATTATATTCAAAAATTATGGCAAATCACTCACAGGTACCAAATGTGAATCTACCAGAGACTAACGGAACGGAAAATTATTTCTCCCGTATTTCACAAGCATCCCACTACAAAATTTCGTCAGAAGAACATTTATATATGTCAGAAAACCCGAAACAAGATTTTCCAATTCATGTTGGCGCAGATAATATAAAAGATAATACTAGTTCGAATAGAATTATGTTCAGTCATCCTGCTGATATGTCACCTGCAAGTGAAGATTACGAATACGCTGTAAGAGTACCGAAGCATAAGCTTACCCGCAGTTTTTCAGATCCGGAATCAGCACAAACCATGACGTGGAATAGCAAAGTGTTTTCAAACGATCCTTTTTTATCGAAATCGGATGGAGAGTACGACTCTCCCAAAAAGTATTCAAAAGATAGTCTTCCGGACTATAAACGCCATAGAGATCATTCAACTTGTCGTGCTGATACTACTATGAAAGGACACGATCAGGAAGAGAAGGACCTAATCAGTGACAGTCCTTCGAATTCAAGACAAAATTCACCCGCATCTGCTGGAACAGGCCACACCAAATCAAGCGACGTGATTTATACGCCAAGACGGGAACGTGATTTTTTTACTGACCATCTCAGTACGGTTTCCCTTGGAATGTCAGCATCATCAACAAATGCACAACGAGATACTTTAAAAATGTCTACTAGATTTAGTGGACCAATTGGCGGTCAAATGCTGTCTCCAACAAAAATGCCATCAGGAGGTCCAATGTATCCACCGTTGGATTGTTGTACTTCATTGCCTGGTGGTGAAATTAGGAGTGGCGTTTGGATTCCTACTAGATCAAGAAATTGTCATTTATGTGGAAAAGAATTCAAAAATGTCTACAGGTAATGAATAGAAACTTTATATAAATAATAAAGGGCAAAATGTAAGACACAATTTCTTGTTGGTCTTTATTTAGCAAAATATGTGTAGTTGAAGAGTACTAAAAAGTTTTGGGGATGTAGAAATTTATTCATAAAAATTTTTGAAACTTTAGAATTAAAAATGAAAAGATTATTATCAGATGAGTTACCATGGTTGCACAAAATGTAGGGTAATCTTTGCAATAAAGATGTCTGTAAATATCGATTCATTGAAACAATTTAAATCAAGTATGTCATGGAAACAGTTTGAATTGTCAAATTTAGCAAATAATAGCTTTTTCATTTATTCAGTGTGAAACTCCACATCAAAAATGTTCATCTCAAAGAAATGTGGCAATGTACAGTACCTGGATGCAATGCAACATTCCCCTCTAAACGAAGCAGAGACCGACACAGTGCAAATTCAAATCTTCACAGGTAATTTGGATCACAATATATTCACAATGGTTGAAAATATACCGGCATTCGCTAGAAATTGCTGACCTACCTTTGTATACAGACTAGGTTTAAATAAAGTACGATCAATTCTAATTGGTGTCAACAGCATTCTTTTGGTTAGTGTTCGCTTTTTCGAGACTAAGTTTTTCCCAAGTTTTTATTTTTATATTTCACTTGAATTAATTAAATATTTATGTTTCATTTCAGCAAACTTCGACTGAGAGGAATATACGCAGACAGTCGTATATGTTCACAAACCGCCGGAATGACTGAGATGCTCAGAGAGAGACTTCTACCGACGTTTTTTCCTGGATCATCCAGCGATAAAATGAGTGATGAACATTGTGGTGATGCGGCATCTCAGCAAATTAAAGAATCAAATTGCAACGATAACAAGAGCGATGTTCATTTTGCAAAAGAAGCTCGCGATCATCAGAAACATACTGATGAACGTATTAAAGCGTTTGATCACAAAGAAAACACAATGCAAAACAAAGATAATGCATCAGGATTGAGTCACAAAGATGGTTCGAAGATATCTAGCGAAGCGGTGCGAAAAAATAAAACGCCCGAGAAAAAATTAAACCCGACGGACTCTTACATTCCAAATAAAGTAGAACAGCCTAGCAGCAATACTGATTTTTATAGCATCTATCATAAACTTTTGACTGATGCAATTTCCTCATCAATGAAAATGAAAGAAAGGTATCAAACGCTGCATCCCCAGATTCACTCTAACTCCCTTTTCTCTGGCATGCCTCCATTTTTCAATTCACAATTTTTACCACCCTATCTGAACATGAAAATGTCACCACTGGCACCTCCATTTGTACCATACAGTGTTTTACCAAACCAAATAACAGACCGTGCATCTGGTATGAAATCCAGAAACGAGAATATCATGGGGTCGCTCAACACTCGTCGGTCAGAAGTACATAAGCCAGAAAGAGAGAGAGTAACGATTTCGAGAGACTCCAGAAGAGAAGACTCCAATGATGAAGCTCCGAACAAAACGAGGCATAAAAGTTCAACTGACACAGCACTAACAGAAAATATGAAGTTAGGTATGTTTTCAAAATTTGAAACAAAATCAGATATCACAGAGGAAAAGTTCACTACTCACAGTTTGAAAGATTTTGAGTATGAAAAACTCAACAACTGCTTTCCCTTGAATAACCCTTTTTTGAATCCGAGGTGGTACTCTGACAATAAATCTTTTAGATCTGATTATACCGATAATTATTCTGGCAATGTTCATCAATACCCATCTCGTCAGCCATATACATCATCAGAGTTTTGGAAAATGCTTAGCAAAATACAAAGCACATCGCCTACAAGCAATGGTCATATATTCACGGATTATCTAAAATATATGCAGCAAAATGTTTCTAAACAGCATGTCATCGATAGCGGTATTCGTGAAAAGATATCTCCTGCTACCAGTAGGCAAAGCACAAATAACGAACTACCTTTCTCTAAACGCTCACTTGACAACGAATCATCAAATTACGATGTAGGAAATAAGAAGAAACGGATAGCTGAATCGCCGTTACAAATCAACTCTCAGGAAGAACAAAATAAAAGTGTCAGTCAGATTCCAAGAAACTATTTGCTTGAGAGGCCGAAACACATCAAACTATCTCGCCCTCTAAACGACGAAATTTATTCAAAAGGAAGTATATCTTCAGTTCGCGACTCAAAACTAAATGGATTCGGTTTGCATAACGCTAAGCCTCGTCAGCAAGAAAACAAAGACGTACAAAAATCAAATGAAGCCCGCATTTCGGATATTCAGAGAAAGAAAGCTGGACAAAAATCACATAGTATTGATACAAACGTAAACAAGTCGCCTTGGTCCTCTTCTTCAACGGCATCGGATCTAGAAAAACATAGCGAGAAGACAGTTTATAATGCAACAAACATTCCCAAAATGTTAAGCCCATTGACGCCACAACATCATCCACAGTTACCTTCATTTTCTCCGAATCCTTATTTTCCACAAAATTTGGGAGATAATCCTAATCACTTTATGAGCGCGGCTTTTATGGCGGCGGCCATGGCACGACAAAAGGGTGGTTTTCCTATACAGAGTCCTTATCTTGATAGAAAATTTCATACGCCCCCTGTCTCTCAAGCAATGATGCGACCTCATTTGTTTCCCGGTGTTTATAATATCATGGAATCGAATGGTATGCCGCCAAATCATTTGTCGCCGGAAGAAATGCTTGGAGCGATGGAAGGCGTAACAGAAATGGATGATCCAACACTGGGAATGGAAGGAAATACATGGAAAACTGGACCAGTACAATGTAGCATTTGCAAACGAATGTATAGCAATAAAGGTACATTGCGAGTTCATTTCAAATCAGTACATCTTCGTGAAATGCACAGGTGCACTGTACCTGGGTGTGATACAATGTTCACTTCTGTCAGAAGCAGAAACAGACACAGTCAAAACCCGAACTTACACAGGACTCTTCCTTATCATGGTTAAGGTATATAATGTACATTACAAGCCATTTATAGTTAGATTTTTCATAAAACAGGTTTTGGCTCGAATCTTTTACCCCATTTTGAGCCAAAATTAAACTTTTAATATTTCCACATGTTTGTTGCAGGAAATAGTGTAATGGTGTGTAAACTGTCTCTAAGGTGTCACAAACGATGTTGTTGATCTGTCATTAATGTTATTTGACTAATTATGATTTTACTTCAGTATTATTTTATGTTAACATTCAAATTATAATTGTACTTATTATGTCGCAGACAAAAACAATCTGTCTTGGACTAACATGTTGAGCATATTCATGTATGTTTTTGTGGTTGCAACATTTACAAGCGACTTTCAAGATATTTCCCTTTTTAGTTCTAATTGTTTCTTATAGATAATATTTTAGTAAAAAAGTTCCATGTAGACAATATTTTAAAGTTCTTCAGTGTGCTTATAACACAAGTATGAAAGATTTTGTTGACTATTTTGTAGAATACATTTCCGCATATTTTTATACCCAAGTATTAGCCTGATACACAATGCGACTTGAAAATTGTTCACCTGCGCCGCGTTCTATACGAAAGATTAATTGTTTGAGAAAAATATATTATCTGCATTATCTTGGTTCTAATATATTTTTGATCTGTTCCGAAATTTGAAAAATAAGTAGGAGGTAGTATTATATATCTCTAATACGGACCTATTCATTACCAGGTTTTCTCTACTATGACCCAAGCACGAATTCATTTTCTAGTTTTAATAATTGTAATAACTAGTTGTGTATTTGGAGAATGAAGGCAATCTCATTTCACTCACTTTTATAGGCTTTAAGCCTAACATTTATGTTTCCAATATTCAACATTTCTGTTTCGTTTAATATTCTTATTATCTGTTATAATTGCACTTTTCTTGTAAGCAAAAAATCGTGTGTTAACACTTGATAGAATAAACATTCCGTGCATTGTATCAGACTTCATCTTCAAGTTCGTGTCAAAAGTGAAGGTTTACACAAAATATAATAAAACCAAATGACATCCAATAGAGATTACAAGATAAAATGGCCGTTGGGGTGTTAGGTGTCAAAAACCATTATAATAAGTATATTTAATCTTTGCTGCAACTTATTTAATAAGTGCCTATTTGTATTAAAGAAATATTGATTAATAACAGCAATGAAGAAGGATGAAATAATTACAATAAATCACATTAAATTGATATGTAAACTGAATTCTAAATTTTTAAAATATGATCATTCTCATGTCATGATTGCAAAATCAATTTCGACGATTCGTGGTTGTAAAACGACATTCAGTCATCACACCGATTAGGGTAGTTAGAGCACTTGAGCACGGTATGATTACACAAGGTCGGTTGTAGACTCTAAACAAATGGAAACATGTCATGACAAGAAGTACGATTATGATAGGCATTATTACATCTTTGAGTAGCAGATACTACCAACTGATTCCACTCCAGAAGATCGGTCAAGTGGTTTGAGCGTCGGCAGTAAAGAATGACAAGATGGCTGTAGTAACAACAAGCCCAGTTCATTGGGTGACAATCCGTTTTTTTTTCAAACATACTTCATGACATATATATAAAATAAAATGGCGGAATTTCACTGGCATTTCTAGGTAATCAATATTATTTGGTACTCCCGGAAGTATGTTAACCAAGATGGCGGACACCGGAACGTAGTATGTGTACCAAGTAAGGGTTAGGCCATAATTTCAGGTACAAATACTACGGGAGTCACTCGGCGAGTTCCCGAACTCGTAATAGAACTAAAATAATGAAAATTGGAAAAAATATGGCCTAATCTTAACCTGGTACATATACTACGTTCCGGTGTCTGCTATCTTGGTTCACATACTTCGGGAGTACCAAAAAATATTGATTACCTAGAAATGTCAGTGAAATTTCGCCATTTTATTATATATATATGTCATGGAGTATGTTTGAAAAAAAAACGGTTTTACTGGTTGGCTGAATGAAACAAATTCGTTATAATTTTTGGTTGATGAAATTTTTGTTCTGCGGATTTGATCGGCAATTTATCGGCGTCGTGCAATTTGATTTCATTTTCAAACGAAGACAAAATATTTTTGCGACCTGAATGACTGATTTCCAGCAAAAATTATTTCAACCACTGCTCCACCCACTCCAAGGCAAGGCACTTTGGTGTTGGGCATGCAACTGGCCCCACGATTACATTGCGAGTTATTCGCAATGTGTTGATTAATTTCTAGTGTAAAAATAATAACTGCGAAATTCATATCATAATGTTGAATTTTTAACAAGTACTCCATAGTTTTAATCGCCAAACTACAAAGTGACTCGTCATTATTAATAAATTTATGTGAAAAGCTGAAATTAGCTTTGTTCATGTTTCGAAAACGCGAACTAATGGCAAATATGATAGCTATCAGTTGACACTCCAGGCGCATTGTTTCTGAAAATCGATCACGGATCCGTCGGTTCGAATTATTAATTTTTGTGCCATAAAATGTCATAAAATCGCATGTTCCATCAGAAAGCAATGGACTTTGAAAGCATTATATAGCGAAAGATATTATCAAACAGTCGTAAAATGAACTAGCGGAGTTTAAACGCCCCGAAGTCTTGAATTTTCGATTCATATTTATTTACGTGTTTACCCAAAACGACATTCAAAATCTGTGTTCGAGAAGCTGCACAATTCTCGCGACATAAAGATTCGATAATGTCAAAGTTGTTTAGATTAATATATCAACGTTTACAATTCAAATTTCAGAAAAATTCAAAAAGACCGCGCCATGTACTGTTATCGCCGATCTCGCGGTAACTCAATTCAAGGCTGCTCAAACTTACATGCTTGGACAAAAGTGGAACACCGTGGGGACAAATAAGAATATTAATATATTAACACATGGGTAACGATGGTAACCCATCATTGTTACGCAGAATTAAAAATTTGTAAATTGATGTCTTTACCTATATGGGCTACTTTCGTACTGAATGATAGAACGTCGGTTGTTAAAATGGTTTAACTGAATCTTGCTGAAGGTTGCTTTTTGGTCTTCGATACTCTTGTATGACATTGGGTCGTGTTTTGTTACAAGAAATTGTGTTCCTGTTGGATTGCACATATAGTATATTTTGTAAAATTGTTATTCCAATTGAATATTCTGTTCAGTCGGCGAGCAAGCATGTTAAAATAGCCACATATCGAACGGTAGTTATTAGAATGCTATGGGGTAGTAACGTCAGGTAAGCAGGTCCGTTGCTTACTGAGACGAAGTTTCGGTAAAAAGCATCCACAAACTGTGTAACGGCGACATCTACGGGAATATTAATATACACCCTGAATCAGTCGTGTCCAATCCAAGTGCCTTCTGAGACCGAAAATCATGTTTTAGTATTGCCGCGGTCCGCACATTAAATAACATATCACAAATTAGAGTTTAATTTTTGTAAAATATGACAAATGTGAAGAATGAATAATGGTGCAAGCAGTAATATGGACGTGATAGCAGATTATGTCCCCGCTACAAATAAACCTGTTTGTGAAGGCTATTTTCCAACTTCTCAATATAAACCGGCATCTTTGATACTGTGGTTAGTCAAATTTTCATTCTTCAGCCTGATCCTATTTGACCGTTTTCACCAAGTGTAGTTTTAATTATTTTGTGATGTCTGAAGCTGCCGCAAAACCATGGCGGGATTTCCAAACCATGGCCTCTATGGCCAAACCCATGGCTATTGACTACTGACTTTTTAGCTGCCACGAATCAACGGCGAGATTCCGTTAACACGGCAGCAAATGAAAACCAATGACGGGTAAAATTTTGCTGCCGTAACCACGGCATGTCGGCTGTAATGGCAGGGCTGCCCCTAATGGTGACAAATATTGAGTAAGTTGGAACATTTTTCTTATGGATACAGTTTTAATAGATTTGGGGTTAGGTTTCAGGTTTTAGATATATTTCCGCAGGATAAGATCAAATCTGGTACATGACTTTGTGAATATACCGGCAATAGCGCCATAACCCATGGCAGGAGCTGCCTTGAAGGGGTAAGAACTGCGCCTCGTTTTTAAGCCGGAGAAGAAAGATTCATATATGTAGATCGTCTATATTGCAGTCGCAAAATGCATTGCTCTTTGCCTTAGAAACTTAACCTCAAAAACGTAAATTTTGTATAGAAATTATTTAGCTCTAAGAAACGATTACCTCAAATCCACGATACCAACGAGTTGAGGTTGTAAAATTGTGATGTTGTAGGTAATAACTGGTGCTATCACCCAACTAGGAATATGGAGTGATATTGTGTGATTCAATGCGTAACACCAGAAATACCTAAAATGCCCGATCTCAAATAGACCATCCAACCTTTGTTGATTTGACTTTATTGTGATATTGCAGTAGTAATGGACATCAGTGAATCAGTTTATTCCGACAGTTACACACATTTTAATCTATATATATGACCATCGCTCCAAGTATTAACTAAATAAATGAAAACAAACGTGAAAAATAGAACTTACAAATAACAAAATTTCCGAGCTCAGGTAGAGACGTGCGCTCACTGAAAACACAAAAAGAAGAGAGCGACTAATGGGAGAATTTGCAGATGCCAGATCATTGGTCCGAATAGACAGCCAAATTGACTCATTAAAATATATTTGAGACTCGTGTGCTTTAAAGAATGGGTATAATACATGCAATTAATTGTTTGTATAAATCATTTAAGAAATCAGTTCATTCAACCGGATATAAATGTACTACGCTTATAAAATTAAATTATTATGGAAAGACTGGCACTACTACGGAAATAGATATCGCGAAAGACTTTTCTAGATTACAACCTAGTGTCCATAATTGAAATGAGGGAATATTTCTTGCATCTGATGCGCAAGGTATTATTGATTACCCCGATCTGCCGTACTGCATACTTTACTGCTTCTAGTGTTTGTTTATAGTGTTAAGATGGGGTAGTGGTGTTTAATAACGCCTAGAATCAGTATCCTGGTATTTTTAATATTACCAATATACAAAAAATGATTTTATTTGAACAACACTAATCAGTTACTTGAAAATATTGGAGTAAACAGCTGGTTGAAGACCATCGGAAAAAATCTGCCAGTGGTCCGAACAAATTCGTCCGGAAGGCTCCGGATTGAAGACCGCTGCCTCAAATTAATCAGAGCGATGCGCCTACTCATAATTACCCAATCTTTCAAATTTTAAGGTATTTACTTGAATAACAATTTAACCTCTATATTTATTCTACTAATAAGAAATATTACTCACGATGTCATAATGCAATACTTACCTACATTTTGTACTAATTGTGAAGGTTAATACAATAATATGTTCCTTCTCAAAGTATAACTGATTGCATTTTTAATTGCCGGTGCGTTTGTCGTGGTAAAATAAACAATTCAAAATTTTAAGAACGGGTTCTCTTTTATATCGAACATACTAACAACGGGTTCCTTCATTTCAAAATGAGTATGTATATTACCACAAAAGCTACATCAACATGATAAACTTCACATTAATCTAATACATAACTATTGAAACGCCAAATATATATAAGGCTAATCGTCAGCTACGGTGCACGTTACTCATATGCTGCGGTCGTCCAACGTCTATAAAAACGGGTTCGCTGATTATCGCGACAAGTTCGCGCGAACCCATGCGTTTAGATTTGGGGTGTGCAACAGGCGCCCTGCGGGCGCCCTGCGGGCTTTTGTCGCTCCAATTTTCTACCAAATGAAGCTCAACTGACTAATGAACAGTCAATTAAGGGTTGCTACAACTTCTGTCAAAGCTGATGTTAACAAACTATATATATGCAAGACTTTGATATTTCAAGTTTCCCACTAAAACGTAAATATATATAAAATTTTGCATAGTAAGAATTTTTTGATTCGTTCTGTACATGAAAAAATTTAATTTTTGTGTGGCCCAGCTATACGCCCAAATTCGGGTATATGGCCCGTCGACAAAAAATAGTACATACCCCTGGTCTAGATTCTGCAGATTCAAGGAGAATTTCCAAATGTCAATATGACTTATTTGAGATACGATAACCTAAAAGTCTGATCATAGACGACATTTTGAAACAAACGAAGGGCATGACTGCATTGACTTGTGCTCTGACTTGAGTCCAAATATCATTTTAATAACTTCTCTTGAGCTCGACATGATAACATGGTCTTTAGGACATGATGATCCAGAAGTCTCACCTTCTAATCGGTTCATAGCATAAAAGGACAATAGATATTGAAGAGTAATTTTATTTCATATAAACAAAGAATATTCATGGATTCATTCCTTGGCCAGAAGCAGTTATAGCGAAGCTGTGAGAAATATTCTTAAATGTCAATTCGATTTGTTATTTTCTGATTATCCACGTAATAATAGTTTTAACGAGCCCAACGCGAAGGCAATCTTCCAGGTCTTGTTGGTTTACTAAATTTTCCTGTGACAGGCGGAATGATGTCGTGCATTTTCTCTGAAATCTGTAAATATGTAAAATTAAAAAGTTGAGATCAAATAACAACGGCAATATTTTTGAGTATGAGGCTTGTGGTGTTTTTGCTTATTTTTCATTCATTTGTCTTAGTATTTTGTTTGAACAACAAGTTTAAATTTTACAGTCTTTGAAGATAAAATGAAATGTAGTTCCTGAGTTGAAGAGAAAAATTTCGTCAAAAGGTTATCTACCAAATTGGTATGTTATTTCCACAAATTTGCCAAACTTTAATTTTTAATTGTTTGCACAAGTTTCACCAATCATTTAACATTATCAAGGTGTCATATCAAATCATTTTGGAGGTGAATGATAAATTACATGAAAAATTAAACGTACCTCATAATTTTCAATCCCAGTGGTTCTATCTGCCTCTCTATCACTGCGTCGAGATTCTGAAATAAAAGGTCTAAACGCAACGTTGAGTACATCATCTGTGTCACTCATGTCTGAGCTACTGAGGTTTGAATATACAGGCTGTGTGTCTGCCCTCCTGTATCGACGAGGTTTTCTTGGACCTTTTGAGAGAGCTTTCTCCAACATGTCTGTTTTTCTTTTCATTTCTTCGCTCATCATTTTCATTCTTCCTGGTTTAGCGGAAGTATTTGCTGCAGCATTCGGCTGATTCCAAAAACCCACCATAGAATCATATTGGCCAGGTGGCGCAGATACTCTTTGTGGGCGACTGGGGACTCTTTCGCTAGTGGGCAATTTTACGGATGGTTCTGGTTCCCCAGTATCGGGTGTAAACATCACTCTGTCACGCCAAGATTTATTATCCGGAGTACTCTTTATTAACTCATCTTCTATTTTACTAGAAGTTAAAGGCATTTTTGACCGATATGACGTGTCATGGGAAGACATAGAATGGCTACGTGGAATGATATTTTCATCAGAGCTCTTCTTTGTGGCATCGGGTGGCTTCACTGTAGAAGATCTTCTAATTGGACGATGTTGAAGTGATTTTCCGGCTCCATGGAAGCCAGCGCCATCTTCTGGCTTTGCTGAAAATTTGTCAACCAGACTTAAAACTCCCTTTCTTTCTCGACCTTTAACCTTTTTATGACCAATTGAAACATTGGTGCCGGATTGTGAATTGAGAGCTTGACTTTTATTGGTTTCATCATCCATATCTGGTGATTTGAAATGAACATGACGATTTGAAGAAAAATCAGGCATGCTTTGTCTGTAATATGTCTTTGGTTTTACAGGAGGGCCGAGTTTAGCTTTTGACCTCCAAGCCACTCTGCTGGGGCTGGACGAATTATCTCGTTTTTGAATAATTGAGGGTACGTAAGGTGTATCACCCAATTTTAGGGGGGAAAATTGCCCGTCCTCGTCTCCTTCATCTCCGCTTAAATATCCATCTTCAGGCTGCCTCTTAGACTCATTGGTTTTCTTATCAGTATTCATTCGCGCGCCTTGTGTACTTCCGATTTCCCCTCGAGAACATGTCGTTCCAACGTTTTCCTCACTCAAAGTTTTGACCTCATTCTCCAGAAGTTTTAGTTCAAACTGTTTTACAACGGAAGGTTTGTTTGGGTTACCCTGTGATGCTTTGAATTTTGCTAAAAAGTTTCTCATTTCTTTTGGCGAACCTTCCGTTTTACTTCTAGTATACTTTTTAGGCCTCGATTTTGCAGGTGATCCGGTTTTGACACTCTCATTTGTGGTTTTACCTTTTCTTTTTGATCTTCTTAAAAATGATTCTCTTCGCCTACTCTCTCGCTCACTTTCACTACTATCTTCAGTTGTCGACAAGCTCCTGCCAAAACCAACTCTGTTTCTCAATAAAGAAGATGATCGCTGACGAGCTTTGTTCTTTCCTCGTTTCTTTAGTTGCTCCACAGATGGTGGAGTGTCCAGTGTGCGTTCTGTGCTAATATCTTCGTCCGGTCTTCGTTCTTTGAAACTTAATTTCTTTTTTATCCAATCTCTTCCTGCTCTACCCATACGACCGGCAATCGAATATTGTTTTTCTGATCCCGGTGTACTGTCCGGTGATATTGACTTCCGAGCAAGATCTTGAGCAGCAGTAGTAGGCGAAACTCGTACAATATTCCCTTCCTGATCTTTATGTATTGATACTCTGGGCTTAGGATGAACAACAGGTGGTACGACATCTCCCGCGAAAATATCTTTCTTAATATTTTCCGAATAAGTATTAGTTGGAAACGTGGATGAAGATTCCTTTTCTTTTGAAACGATTGAAGTATCTGGAATTATATTCGTGCTAAACTTTTCAGTTTTCACGTTTCCGAGAGTTCTTCCTGTATACCCAACATTAGAATTAGTAACAGCTGCGTTGTTTTTATTAGTGTCATTTTCTTTAGTCTTCGCTAAAGAAACTGTTTCTTTATGTGCCATCAACATTTTAGGTTCATCATCACTTGTTTTGCCTTTATCTGTAGAAGTAAAAGATTCAGATTCGATCGATTTCCTTAATGCAGCACGTTTATCATCTTTCTTAAAAAGAAGTTGTTGATGAAGTTTTGGTAAACGGGGCGAAGCACTTCGGCCTCTTGTCAATTCGTGGTCTTGAACTGAAAGTGTTTTCTCAGTCGATGCCACACGGCTTCTTGTTGAAGTTGTTTTAGGGAGTTCAGATAATTTCTTTTCCTCAACAGTGATGGTTTTCGATCGAGGTAAATTGTTCATGTATGATACTCTGGCATCAGGAATATCGGATTCTTTCTGCTGCTTAGTACCTCCGGGTTTGGGGTGTGAGAAATCTTTTGGTGTTTCGACAAAGTCTTGAGGCCCGATAGATTCTGGTATAGTATTATCGGGCATAGTCAAATTGCCTAGTCGTTCGTTTGATTTAGGTGAAGGTGCATCTGGGCTACTGACTGTTATATCCACCTGACTGCCTTGCCGACTTATTTTTTTTACTTTTCGTTCTGGATTCGGTGATCTTTTCATCTTCAACTGTGCGGTATTAATCAGGGGTAGTGATAAAGCAATATCACTAGGTGAATCACTCTTTGCGCTTGCACTTGAAAGTCGTGCTTTGTCCTCAAAAAGCAATGCATTGTCGACAAAATTTTGTCGTTGAAAACTAGTTTTTCGTTTTGTTCTCCAAGGAGCGTTGGGAGAAGGACCATCTTCAGATGTGCCTCTAGTATAAGATGAATTAATGGATGGTGGTCGGGGGCTGGGTGTTGAGTACTCTCTGCTCATTTTTCCTGCTTGTAGGTCTGATTTGTCGACCGGATGATCAATATCTTTTAGATCTTTACTGATTTTTTCTATTTGCTTCAATGCCTGAACAAAAAGTGTGAAAACGATATTCAATAATGTGTAAGTTAACATTGAACAATAAAACAATTTGTAAATTTATTCACTTATGTATCTTAACCTGAGCGTACTTCTATTGAACGTACAGGTTTGTTTGTACAGTTTTTGCATATTTCTTCGCAGTTAACGATTCATGAAGATCGCAACTAAGTTAACTGCTTATTCCAATTCAGTTCACCTAATGTACCGAGCCGCAGGTCTGCTATTTTATTATTAAGAACGCGCTATATACTTCTAGGCAAACTTACATCATCAACTGTCTTCTGAAAGTTGTTATATCGTGAAGACTCATTTGTTGAAGATGTTGATAAATTTCTTTTATCTGGCTGCCTGTGTTCATCCAGTGTCTATATAAAATGAAAATAATTTTACAGTTCAGCTATTTATTGACGACACCATCATGTGATGCGGATTGAAATGAAGTAAAAATTAAATTAACAATGACGTAAAATTCGTCTCCGGGGAGATTCTTCGACAGAGTTGATTGTGTTAATACAAAAATGCAAAGAGCAAAAAGATACGTGATATGTGGAAATTAATGTGGGTGTTTGGAAACCAACTAAATCATTTTTAGTAACAACTGTTATTGTAATTGTTTTTCTACCTATGTTGTTCATGTAATTACCAAGAGTCACAGAGGTGTGAATCAAATAGGGTCAAGTTTGGGTACGGTTCCTTTTAAGTTTGAAAAACTGAGATTGTGCCCAAAATTTGGGTCCACTTACAAAATGCAAACTGTGCTTTGTTGCAAAATAATAATCTTAACGGTTGCAATTCGTAATAGCTTTCTAAAAGCATTGGGATACTTCCAAAAAGAATTCTCCCTCCGAGGATGTAAGGGATCGCCAGAACGACGAGGAAAGGCGTAATGTTAAAAAACGCATGTTTTATAAACTAGAAACCACTTACCGATCTAGATTTGTTTTCATCATCGAGACCAGAATATGATGTTGTGATTGGAGATGTGCTTGAAGCACTTGATTGTGCAGATTTGTTGTCCAACTGAAAATTGAAATACACCATTATACCTTGCATGTAGAAATCCAATGATTCAACACTGTGGTGCTGAGAACTGTTTTCAATTTTCGTCAATGACACTTGTTATAATAATAATTTAGTAATACGAATAATAACCTGTCGTATCTTTTCATTTAATGCGTTTTCCTTCCTTTTCCATGATATTCGTTCTTTTTCCAATTCTAATTGAAGTTCTCGTTTTTCTCGAAGTAATCTATTCTCTTTTTCAAGAAGTTGCTTTTTCAGTTCAAGGACATTATTTTGCCATTCGGTCAGTTGCCTTGATTGTTCGGTTATTTTATTTGTTAAGTTTTTCATGTCTGAACCATTTGTTATTTTTTCGCTTGTGCTCTGTTAAAAAATAACAATTTTCAGAAACTAATAAATTGGTTTATCACCAAAAAATTCGTTCGCAAATGATACCATCGATAAATTTTGGCCATTTTCTGTAAAAAAATTAGAATACGACATGATGGGTTATCCTATTATTCTGCTTCTAATTTCAACAATTCTGCACATGTTTTACCTGAAGACTTTGCAACAAATTGTCTCTTTCTGCTTCCCATTGACGCTTTTCGGCAAAATGAGCAGCTTCCATTTCAATTCTCTTTCGTTCCTCTAACCTCAATTCTTCTCTTAAATTTTCCAAAATACATTTGAGTTCAGTCAGAACTCTTTTACTTTCGTCAGCCTAAGAATGAATTTTTAAGGTCAGTTCTGTTTCTAAGTGAATTGTAATGTACCCCGATCCGAGAGTGGAGTGGTTCTGATTTTTTATACGGCAACCAAAGTAAAACCTGTTCTTATAAATTAACTTTATCGTCGTTTATTTGGTAAGAATAACTAAATGAAGTATTTCTCAAACCATATGTATATATATGTCAGAGTAAAGCCGTACCAGTATTGTGTCAAATTAGTAATAGGATATTAAAAATGGTATAACCAACTATCATTTTAAAGATAATTGATAACAAGAGAGCTACGCTCTAATATATGAACACGTAGAGTCACATAATTTTGATGACGTCATAGCGAAAAAAAAGTGATCGCCTTCTGGAGAAAATTTTTATCTTTAACCACTGAAAATTTCAAAGCAATTGGTCCAGTATTCGAAGAGAAAAGCGATTTCTTCAAAACGTGTTGACGGAGACAAATAATAACAATAACAACAAAATTTTGAAACGATCGGTATGTCCACTATGTGTCCAAAAACAAGAGTGTTTAAAAGATAGTTAGTGAAGGATATATGTTGAGTATCTGCACTTGAACTAATACTATCGGAAGAAAGGCGCACTATAATAGGCCAGTTATTTTGAAAGATTCGACGACTTACCATCTCAACCTTTTTCATCAGATTCTCTTTTTCCTGTTGCCATTCTTTCTTTCTGGAAATATGTCTTTGTTTCAGTTGTTCGAACATGTTTGCTATTTCTCGAGCTGTCCTGCGTTTACCACGTGACCTTGAAATGTTTTATTGAAACTTGAATTTTTGAAATTTACACACTTGTGTGTTCATTTTATTAATATATAATTGTCAGAATTAAATGTATATTAGGTTGTCACAGCTCGTATACCACATATCAACGCTATGATCAAGATGGCAAGGATTTTCTATATAGATCGCAGCCTTGGTTAATACAATCTATCACACATCGCCCGAACTAATGGCAATGATATTTCAATACAATTCTCGTTGAATTGTGAATGATATGCACACTGTAAGCAAAATTTCCGAGGCGTTTGTCAATCACAGTTATCGACGCAAAATGTAGATGCAATATTCGATAGTTTACATAATTGCATTTATTTCTAAGGCATCGTTACAGGCCCCTAATATTCACAAAATTTCAGCACTATTGCAAAGCGATTCGTAGGCTTACTTTGATGCGATTTATATAAATTCGATTCTCGCGCATCTGCGAGCATTGTGGAAGTTCATTACCTCTATGGTCATTGGATATCGATAATGATATTCATTAGAACATTCTTTCTACAATTAATTTCATGTAAAGTTTTACGGCACATAAATATCGTCCTGACGTTAAGATGTTTTCCATGTTTGAGAAACGACATCAATATTACCTTCGTGAACGTGGTTCATATTGAACTTAAACCGTGCGGTTAAAGCATTTTTATAGTGTGATGGGAAGTATATGGGACGAATACATTCCTACACCATTTGACTCCAGTTTAATATTGCAATGGCCACTTGTTAAATACGTATGCTTATGGAATAAAAGCTAACTGTGATCTATTAGTGTTTTTCAATGTAAAAGAATCGTGGAAAATCTAGTCTCAATATATTGGCAATGTAGGTTTGTGAGTTAGTTGGGCTTCGGCATACTTCTTTATCTATTGTGTAAAAAAACCGACAGAAAAATCTGGAACGGACATAATTAGGTCCTTATCATTATGGCAACGATAAATGTATAAATTATTACTTGATGTGAAATGTCAATAACAAAGAAAATTGAAGAATAACTTTATCATAAAATACATCCAATGCAATCAAATAATCAAGTAAAAACAAACGTGTATTGTTATGAGAAATGAAAGCAGGAACAGATATTGTTTTGAATTGCACAGTTTGACGATGGAATCACAACATTGGTAGAATATATATATATTGGGATATTGATATTCCCCCGGCGGAGATGTAGGCGTCAATTACGCAAATTGCCGAATGACGCAAAGTTTTATTTATGTCGATGTCAATATGACAGTATTGTGCTGAGGACAGAACAAAACAGAAATCGATACAAACAAAAAACTCGATCTTAAACAGTAAAAGTCAAAGTTCTTGTTTGGCCATAGCAGCAATTGAAAAAAATGTTTAAAGCTTAACACCAATTGAACAATTTGACTACGAATGTTCTGTCCTAAAGCACTTTTTGGTTCCTCGAGTATTTAAGCGATATACAATACTTACGAGTACTAAGAGCAATTTTAACTTTATCTTTAGCAAGAAAACGTCAATCCACTCATTGTGTAACTCACCTCTCCCTGCTTTCAGCTCTTTCGTCATCATCGTCGTTGGTTTGCATGTCTGAGATATTGGCAGAATCTGGAGTAAGCGCTGACTCTTCTTTGTTTTTCATTTTTATCAATGGGAATTCTTATTTTATTACGATCCGGGTTCTGCTTAAAAATAGGCGACAGGTTTTTTCCAGGATGGTTTTATCTAAAGCTCTTTAAAAAGTCGAAACAATACTAAAAATACTGTCAAATACTGTAGTGAAAAATAAAAAGTTGTAGTAAAATTGAACAACTCGATTGGGATGGTAGGCAAATAACGTCATTGTATAGAAATAATGGCAACCGACTAGTTTAATCAGAAACAATACGTAAGGTACCTAAATTTTCTAAACGCGAAATGGAATGTTGTTTCATGATAATACAATTAAAAAAATAATAATATACACAATATTGTTAATACATATACATATAAACTTCCACCTCCCACTTACTCCTTGGATGTATCTGGATAAGTTACAGTTTGTTCCCAAATTGGCAAAAATGAAAAATATATCCCATCTATTGCATTCCTTCTTTGTCTGCTAATATATAAAGAGAACTCAATGCGACCAGAAGTGTTTTTTGTCGAAACACCCCTTTGTATTTAAGTTTGACTTGATATCGTTTAGCTTCACAGAGTCTCACCTTTTTTCAGAAAAACATCCAGTTCATCATAACATAATCAATTTATTGAAGAGTTGAGTAAAATCCGTAAATCAGTGGAAATTTTAGGGGATAGTAGCAACTACCCAAATTGCAACAGCAAGCCAAGTTACACAAAACAATATAACTTCAATACATGCCTACCATAACATAAGAGTTTAAATACTTTATACTGATAAGCTATGATCAACTTCTTTCCTCAGGTTATACTATTATTGTTGTTTATCTTAACTGAAATATTATACTGTACACTTAATTTGGCTTCGTTTGATCACTACAAGCAACAAAGATAAAGTCGAAGTGACTTCAATTAAAGTCAAAAGAAACAAAGCAGCCTTGAAATGCTGGATTACGTCAAGATATCTACTCAAATGTTGTTATCTTTCCTAGCTCTTGTATATCACGCTATCACCGATGACATGTGACGCAGTGTACCCCTGGGATTGAATATTCAACGTCTGCAGCTGTGTTTAGAAATAGGAAGATCGCACCCTCGTTTGAATATCGACGATCGACGCGAAAGACAAATGTGTGTCTGGAAACTGCCATTCGGCTACTTAGCACTTCAAATTTACTATCATGAACCGGTTTTAGAAATGAATTCTGCATTAACTTACTAATTGAAAAAAAATAAAAATGAAGCTGTACTGTACTGAATTTTGCATTAACTTACTAATTGAAAAAAAAATAAAAATGAAGCTGTACTGGTTGCGCTGCAGAAACATACCATCTTTTGTGAAAACACATTAGCTTTTGGTCAATGTATATCAGGCATGATCGAGATTAAAAATTGAAAAAGTCAAAAACTAAATCTGTTTTTATTAGTTAAATAAGAGGAATATTTCGTTTGAAAATTTATGCAATGCTTCCATGACTTATTTTCAGATAAACGCTGTTGAAGTTGAAAATATTAGGACAACACTGCCATTCGGCTACTTAGCACTTCAAATTTACTATCATGAACCGGTTTTAGAAATGAATTCTGCATTAACTCACCATCGAAAATTGAAAAAGTCCCACTCCTCATTAATTCTTTGAAAATTTACATTCAAAAACCTTAGTATTATACCAGCAAAGAGATGTATCATACGAAGATACTATGACGAGTTCGTGCAGTCAAACACACAAAAAATGAAATATTAATGGTCCCCCGTATTTTCTCTACTACAGACGATGCTTTGCCCATCCGTGGAATATCAAATATGTCTCCTTCAATGCTTTCATCCATATAAGGTTCACACAGGTTTAACATTTGAATTCATATTATATATAACCCGTACTAAAACTTACTATCTCCTACTTCTATGATTTTCTTCAACGTGTAACATCTCTGATTTACTCGATTGGAAGCACATAAATAAATGATGCGGTTCAAAATTTGTTTCCTTCAAGCTCGTTTCATGAACGAGAATATTTGTGTATAGATAGGTTGGTGTGAAACACACCAAGCAATATATTTTTACGTCATCGATGTCATAGGTGACTCAGCAGCCCGACGTTCACACACAATGACGTTTTAAATGGCAAGTTATCTGATTTGAAGTTAACTTTTGTAATTTATTAACAATTTAAAGGAGAGAAAAGCTAAAATGGGAACGGAAATCATATGACTACGAAATGCTAGACAACGGCTTAAAGAATTGTACCAAATGCCAGTGAAGGTGTGTTTCGGACGTTGAGTAAAGATGTGGCTGTAAATAATAAAATAGCAACATTCGAGCAAAATTTTGAACTGTCAAAAACAAAATTGAAAAAAAATGAAAATGAATCTGTACTGGTTGCGCTGCAGAAACATACCATCTTTTGTGAAAACACATTAGCTTTTGGTCAATGTATATCAGGCATGATCGAGATTAAAAATTGAAAAAGTCAAAAACTAAATCTGTTTTTATTAGTTAAATAAGAGGAATATTTCGTTTGAACATTTATGCTATGTGTCCATGACTTATTTTCAGATAAACGCTGTTGAAGTTGAAAATATTAGGAAATTTTATAGTCCTGTTTATCTTGAGTTATCAATGATTAAGAGAATTCTTATTCCATGTGGCCTACACATTTATGGGCTACTTCACCGGCTTTTTTTTTCTAAGAAGATTTTAGTAAGAGTTGGCTTTGAGAAGGAGCTACATACCAGATTTTGAAGTACCGAAGCGGAATATACTATCCAATTTATTGCAACCGAGGTGATATGATGAACATGAAATTGTTTATCGGCTAACGGCTCGACTTGGGAATGATGTATATTGCCAATTCAGTCTAGCACGGTAAGCAATAAAGTTCATCGTACTCTCAAGTTTCTCTAGTTAATATTGAGCTCTAAGAAAGGTATAAGGCCACACATAAATTCAAAGTGATTGTCAAACTTTGAAACATATGTGTGACGTAATGTGATTACTCAAATGATGACTAGCGCGACAACTCTTAATTGTTGCGGCGCAATGCATCTCAATGCTCTTTTCTCTTTGTGCTATTAGTCAGCGCACCTCTGTCATTACGCTCTGAAATTTTGTTATTTGTAAGTTCTATTTTTCATGTTTATGTCCTTTATTTAGTTAATAATTGGAGTGGTGGTCATAAATTGTGTGTAACCGCCGGAATAAACGGACTCACTGATGTCCATTACTACTGCGACACTGCAATAGAGTCAAAGCAACAAATGTTGGATGGTCTATTTGGGATCGGGATTTTCAAGTATTTCTGGTGTTACCCACACATTGAACCACTCCATATCATAGTTAGGTGATAGCACCAGTTATTATATATAACCCTAACGCCAACGTCCGTACTCACTGCTCAGCTGTGGTTCAATTCGTACCTATGTGAATTGACACGGCGTTGAGATTTGACTTTTTGATTTTGAATGATCAGATAACTGATTTCAGTGTCGCAAAACGTACCATTACTTCAGTTAGTCATTGATTCGCATACATATATTTCTATTTTGTTCAAGTGTGTGATGGCGCATGGAGATTTTTCTACAAATACTCGATTGGCAAGATGGAACGCAGGGTTTTTGATCTTCCCACTAACATAACCAGAGCGTTAGAAGGTATATAAGCCCTAATACTCAATAGTTTCTATACGATAAGTGCTGATTGCGCAAAACAGTCCTGGTTAGACCTGCGAAATATCTCATGAAACACCGCGATAGTGTACAGCAGGGGTGGCCAATACGTCGATCGCCACGTCTTGAGTAGTCGATCGCGTCTAATGTTGAGTGAATTTACTAACATACACCAAAAAATTACCTTGAACCAGTTTCATGCATCGACTGTTGTGTGTTTTTAAACAGAAGGAATACAGTACTGTACCGTCAAAATACGATATACAATACACTTTCAATATTCGAGTCTGGGCAAGTCCGATAGACGGATAGAGCATATTATTATTACGTAACAAATTAAAGTTTCGCCGCTGCTAAAGTTTGGCAATGAACGTGCAGGTTATCGTGTGTCTTGACTGGCAAACGATCTTCTGCAGTAGGCCTACGAGAAAGTTATTGTCTCACTCCAAGGTTATTGTCTCTCCTATTACATGGATACTTAGCAAGGTTTAATAAGGAATTTTCAACGACCCAAAATTCAGCAGGCCTTAGATCGGAATTGTATGATTTGTATATATCTTAAACGATGGAAATCTTACTCTGAATGCAATTACATAATTAATTTACCAAATTAATAGGAGCATAATGAATACAAATTTATGGGGCAATTTCATTGAGATGCGGCGAGCTTATTGGCAGCGGTGAAATTTATGTGCAGTTTATCTGCATATACTCGATCGTTTTTATGTATGACCTTATCAACGATCAGTCGATCGCGAGCTATTTTGAAGATTTTAGTCGATCGCGTTCGAAAGCAGGTTGGCCACCCCTGGTGCTCAGGCACTCCTGTTTACTTTGCAAGATGAATCGTACCCATGTTGTTAACTTATGCCCGACTCTCTAGTTTTACTTCTGCTCGGATACAAGTGAGCTATTAGACATGACGATTGGAATAGCTTAACTTTTCAATATAAGTAGAACATATAGGCTAAAAGGACTTGATGTGGGTTTAGTTGGCTCTGGGTCTAATGAAAAATTCATTTACGCGCGTACGAGTATATATGGAAAAAGATGAAAGTTACTGTAACTACAAAGTTATCACATTTTATCACTCAAAACGTTTGGTGCTAGAAATGTATAATTGTATTTTTAAATTGTTAGAGCATAAAAAATCTTCGTGCGCGCATTGTTTAATGTAAATTTAACCATCATCCAAGTTTATAGCATGCATGAGCGTAACCCCGCCGTCTACTGCAACGTTTGCCGATGATGTTTGTCTTGGACGCTTTCCTTCGTGAACGCGGAACAGTGATTGTTTGATTTTCCCGTTTGTGACGCGTTGTTATCAACACTTGCAACAGGAAAATTGTGTTCCTGAAGTGAAACAGGTAACCGTCTGTGATGAGATGTAGTATAGTTTCGAGGACAGCCCATAGCTTGAATTAATTTATATTGTATAGTTTAGAATTAGCTTATAATATAATGCTTATAATATAGGAAAAGCCCTACTGCCCTATTTCGTATTGTCGCAGGTGCCACCGGCAAAGATATGCTTTTATCAGCAGAGAATTCAGATTGGTCAGAACTTTTTTGACTTGCGTATCTGAGGATTGAGTAGTAGTATCTTGCGAGGCATAAACAAATGAAACAGTTCCACAAACTATGGAAGCTTTTGTAAAAGCCAGAGCGCACCAATAAAGTGCATAGAATAACTTTAGCACAACGGTAACAAGCCGGACTAGAGCTAAATATATATAGAGAAAATGATTCATGACATTGAAGTCCAAAGCAGTATTTTTTGAATTTGAAATATATAGCGATGGATTCTGTTTTTGAAATAAACTTTATAGAAAAACAGCAGCGTTAACCGAACTCCAAAACTCATGAGCACTGACACTGCTTTATCGTATAGGCATATGGATATGGGCTGCCTATACGTGACAAATGACGAGGTTTCTGTTCCTTCTCTGTGGGTATGTCACAAATATATAACAAAGCTGATATTGTTTACGTTCACTATATCTACAAATGGTGAGTATAAGGTCAGTTTTATTATTTTTACACGAATATAATTTATCATTCATTTGACCTCCTGGAAGCTGTCGGTGTATAGCAACTGAGCTTTAGATAACAGTCTATTCAATGAGCTTCGGTCATCATCATGAGCTTCTCACCATTCACGATTTCGGATTTACTGATTTATCTTGAAATTTTACAAATTTTCTCACCTCTTTGGGAGGAATTCAAGTTGCAGTTAAGACCTAGTTGCTCAATATGACCTGGTGAGCCGAGCTAACAGACGTAACAAAAACAAGAGCCATTCTCAAATGTATGTACACGAAAGCCAAGCAGTCTATCTTTCCTTATAGCTTATACAGTACCTTATCTAGTATACGGTACGATCGAAAATTCTGCGACTTTTGCTTAGCACGATAGAGTTCGCAGAATCGCTACAAAAAAATTATTTTGAAGAGGTTATCTATCGCACAAAATTTCTAAGTGAAAAGCGACCCACAGTAAGTTTTGAAATAGACAAAAGTATTGACCTTCTAGCGAAAAATACAATTTTCGACCACAGAAAATTTCGAAGCAATTAGTCCAGTGGTTAATGAGTAAAGCTAAACAAAAATTCTAAATAGCGAGAAGAAGAAAAATACCAACAACAACATAATAATTAAACGATCTACAGGTACATTATTGATATTACAGAATATAAAAATATGCTACTGTATACAGCAAAATTTGTCATGTTAAAATAGACGTTCCATGAGACAAAAGTGGCTAAAATAGTACAACTCAATTTTTTTTGGAGTATCAGACTGCATACCTATACATTTTTCGGTACTCCCGTTGTATATGAACCAAGCTGGCGGGCACCGGGACGTAGTATGTGTACCAGGTTAGGGTTAGGCCATAATTTTAGGTACAAATACTACGGAAGTCACTTGGCTAGTCCCCGAACTCGTAATACAACAAAATTGGAATAAAATTATGGCCTAACCTGGTACACATACTACGTTCCGATGTCCGCCATCTTGGTTCGCATACTACAGGAGTACCCATTTTTTGTATATGAAACTGTGAAACACACGATAGGGACACGTAGATAGAATTAATGATTGGTGAATCCTAATACAAGGCGCATATCCACACTAACATACTAATTTAGGCCCTAATGTAACCGATTGCCTTGAATTTTTTTTTAATTTTGTAGGACAATGGTAAATCACCGCAACGAGGTACCTATGAATCGTTTTATGGTATTGTTGGTATTATTTTTATGTTGCCTTTCGGCTTTTTTGTTACATACTGGACCAATTACTTTTAAATTTTCCGTGGTTAAATATTGTTGTTGTTATCGCTAGAAGGCTATTTCTTTTATTAAGTTCAAAAATGTCGGTGGGCCCTATGGGATTCGTTTTTATTTTTTATGACGTTATCAAAAATTTGAGCATTTCGTAGCGGTTCCGCGTACGCGATCTGGTACAATTCAAGCTTACATGGTTTGTTCAATGTTTTTGCATTGAATCAAATAAGTCATGTGATATAGCGTATAGACTATAGACGAATGAATAAAATAAAATGTTGATTCAGTTTGATTTAGATATCATAGTGACGCATTGGTACCGTATATATGTATAGATTTTAATATTTCAATAAATAAACTTAACAATTGGCATCAAATGTATTACATATATATAATAATAAAAAAACAGTGGAAAACTATTATTTATATATAATGGGCGTATCGCATACAAGAAATAAAACATGCTTCATTTTCAAAAAAATAAAATTAAAAAAAACAGCACGGTCAATTCATTTTCTAAATATACGACTTGATTCAATTTACGGAAAGACGCCTGAGGTAAAATTTAAGAATAGCCTGAGCGTTGAGATTTTACGGTATTTCTATCAAAAAGAATCAAACTATGTATTCCGATGTAAAAATTATTTTTGTTTTTGAAATCCTGCTTCGTACAAGTTTTTTATCATTTAATTAACATTCGCAGTTAGCTTACACATTTGGCGGCACATTTTTATGCGAATGTACTTTTAGCAAAACCGCCTAACATATTAATACATTTAAGGTTCGTCCCATGCAGTTTGCTGCTATAATTGTTATATATACAGACGAGCTTCAAATGGTGCATTCGACGAAAATAAATATATCCCAGCTTTGTAATATATTTTTATTTCATTCAAAATCAAATGAAAATTTGTCATTGTAGGCATATTTTCTATTATAAATGGACAACGTATCTATATATTATTAGTAGCAAATCTTTTAAATGTTGATAAATTGTGAATACTTCGAATGTTTTACCAAAAGTTTTATTCAAACGTTCAGAGCAAATTATCTTACGCTGGTAGATTATGAGAGTTCTGTAACACGCAACCAGGAATTTTTCGCACATTAATTCAAATTAATTTATTGTGTACCGTCTGACAAAAGACAAATTTTCTCAAACACTTCATGTTTTTGGTCATGCTCATAACTATAGTTCAAATTTTGGAAAAGATTAAAATAATTTTTTTTTATGTAGAGCCATTGATTTACTTTAACTAGTTTATGAAACATGAAGCTTATTTTGATCGTGTCATTTCTTATCAATTCGTCGATAATCACGGCCAAAATATTAAGTGGACCAGAGAGGACTTTAGAAAGACAAAGTAAAAGGACATCACCTGACACTCGTCACGAAAAGTTTATTCACCATCAAGATGTCGATAATAATGAGATAGAAAGAAAAAACTGTGACGATGAAAGAGATCATTTCTTTGGAAAATTAGTCAAAGCAAAGTAAGAAAAGTGTTAGATTGTAAGATAGAATCACTCTCGAGGGGTAAAGTATTCAAATGAATCTATTTTATAAATAATCCAAATAAGTCAGGTTTTACTGTTGAAATATAACTCCTACTGAAGAAACTATGTCGTACCATCATCATTATTTGCACTCAAATATACATATATATATAGCAATTTGTTTTCAGATGGGATATTAACCCACCAAAACTTTCTGTCAAAAAATCAGCGTTGAAGAAAGGTTATGTTTTCTATCCTGTAAAATTTTCAAGTAAGTATATACAATGAGTGAATTTTATCACAGATGAGAGGAAATAAAAGTAAACCGCCAATTTTTTTCAGAAATTATAAAGCAGGGGATTTTGGCAGCCCACAATCATGCTAGGGTGCATTTTCCAGCAAGCAATATGAAATTGATGACATGGGATAGGGGATTGGAGAAGATGGCAATACGACATACGAGAGAATGTCTTTACTCGAGTTCTGCAGTAAGTTCATTCTGATAAATTATTGAAATTATTAAACTTATTATTTGACGTCATGCAAATATCCAAAATTACAAAACAACTGTTGGTCTTTTTTACGTGGCATCGGTTCAGGGTAAAAGATTTTTCGCAACTGACGATCACGCCATTTTATGGGCCAAATATAGTATAAGTATATTATGGTATGTTCAGTTTTTTTCACTTATGCGGTTGTATTCTGTGTTCTGGTGGTTTTTCCAGTGTATTAAATTATTGTTTGATTCTTAATTTACTTCAAATGTCAGTTACTTGCATGTGACTATATTTTATACGCAATCGATATACTGCTTTCAAAAATAGAGTACTTAGCAACTCAAAAATAGAGTTAATATTTCTTAAAAAAATATTTCATTCTATCTTTTTCACTACAGTATTTTCATCCAGTCGGAGAAAACGTTTTTGCTTCTACCGGACTTCCATACAGCGAAGGCATTCTAGAGCGTGTCATTGATCTGTATTATACTGAAAAAGCTAATTATGACTTCGAAAACTTGAGATGTAAAAAAGGAAAAACATGTCAACATTTTTTGCAGGTAGGCAATATCATGGCCCAATATATATCAACGTAAAGTTGATGCTCACATTAAAACGCAATCAAGGCATTCAATAACATACACAGTGAATTTTTTAGTCAAGCTTTGTTATAGTCGAATAGAGCAACAGCAATGAAGAAAGTTTGTAGTGGAATGAGTTGAACATCGCTTAAAACAAGGTTTCACAATCTCCCACTAGGTTTATAGGCGTGGATATCTGACATATTTTTTGTAAGTTTGTTACACGTGACGCCACGAGCTCACACAAAAGTAGAAAAAATTACTGAGTAAATTACGTCATGACTTTACATTTTTCATTTGATTCTTGAACTTGAAATTATGCATTTTGTACAGGTCATTTGGGCTAAATCATCCCGAGTAGGTTGCGGTGCTACTTTGTGTCGGAACCTCAATGTTCATGGGAAGATTTGGGATCATGCATTCTATTTCACTTGCAACTACGCTCCCGTAATTGAGGACTATAACACGTAAGTGAAAAGAAGTCTACAAATTATACCCTTAAGTATTATTTATTATAGTTCGTAATAGGAGTAAGCTGATTCACTCGTATACTCGGTTTAAAGACAAAGGAATGAGTTTGAAACTCTCATAATCTGGCAACGGAGTCCATATATAGTATAGCCCTTCTCCTGGTCGTTCAGGGTTTGGTTAATGGAAATGAACATAGAGTGCTCGTGTGGCAATGTATATTTTCTTTTATTTCCCCGCCTGTTATTTTTGTACGGAGTGTCATTGTTCAATAATTTGTACAGGGTTTTATCTACAACTGTGTTGCCAGTTTTTATCTGGTGATAAAGAAAATTACAGATTTGAAATATGCCCAAAGGTCAAACAATGTAGTGACGCTTAGTAATTTTGGTATTTATGAAATCGGTTCTTGAGAGTTTATAACAGAAAATAATGTCAGTAATCAAACTTTCTTTTCTGATTACAAACTCCATTCTAAACTTGACACATGGATGAGCCGAATGCCTTCCTGACAAGTCCAATTCAACCATGACTATTGTCGTAATTTGAGGAATAATTTCATTGTATTTATCATTAGAACTCAGTTATGTTAAGGTGCCTAATGCAGTTAGTGATGCACTGTCGCACTTTATTATTTTAACGGTATGTTTGATTCAATTGTCAAATAATCCTGCATATTTCTAAACCAAGCACAGTAAATTGATATAATGAACTCAATAATTTATAAAAGAAGGTAAAACTATATCAAAAAGTTATTTAAATATAATTGCCAATTATTGTTGTCGATAGGGGGATAATTCAATTTTCTGAACCTAATATTTGATACGAAATTGAATATTTTACAGATAAGGGTGTAATTTGCTTCCAATGTGTTTTCATTTGAATTTCAGGAAACCATATCTTCTTGGGCCACATTGTTCAAGATGCGACCCTGCTGAGGTGTGCAGATATAATCTATGCACAAAGTTGTCAACAAAAAAGTCAGCGTTGCAGTGAAACCATTTCAGGATTTTTTTAGTTTATTATAATGGAAATTATTGTGAATATTAAATAAAATCGGCTGAAAATTTTCCAATTTTTATTTCGCCATCTAGTCTAGTCAATGTTAGGCTTGGTAAGATAATTTATCATAGTGAATTTCAGAATGTAGATTATTGGGTACGAAATTCACCTATGGATTGTTTTGTTACTTATCGATCTTTAGATCGGTAAATATGTTGATATGTATTTGTCTGTTTGTCTGTTAGATGCACGCGATATCTCACGAAGGCGTGGTTGAATCTGCTCCAATTTTGCATGTGCATTCATCATATCTCGGACCAGAAGCCTATTGATTTTGGATGAATTATGTCGTATAATTAGCAAGTTATTAATTAATTAGTGATGGGATACGCGGTGTCACTATAGAGTCATGAAACGAAACCGCAGTTTCGATCGATAAGTCTTCGGTCTCCGACCGATATTCTCGCTTAATTGTTGTTGATGACACATCATTGTCTAAAAATTTCTCCCATAAAGTTATTCCGGGCTCTCTGTTGCCAGCATTCAACTCCGCATTTCACAATTTGCCATATCATACTCATCGGTTTTCCCCGAGTCGACTTCTTCAAGTCCTGACAGGTTCGTCGAAAGTGTAACAACAGTCTCATTTTTCCAGTCCATTTATTTGAACGTCACTGTATTATTTTATGAATGCTCTTCATTCACAGAAGTTTTTTCATATATGCACTCAAGTTCGGAAATTGTTAGGTAATATTAACAGCTTTTCGAAGTTGTAAGTTGATAAGGATAAATTACCAAGTTGGGCATCCGTGTTTATCGCAATGTAACCGAGTTCAGTCATGGCGCTTCTGCAAACGTTTTGTATACCATCAATGACTGCAAAGTCTTGTTTTCGCCATTTTGTCAAAACTTGCTTTGAATCTCTTGATGTTCCAAAAAAATTTTGAGGCATTCCCGCCTTGTTTAATTTTATAACTTTGGTACTTTGATGTGTGTTCTTACGAAGCCAAGTTTCAACTTCGGAATTATGATTTATTCCAACGAATTTTTCTACGGTTCGTAAAGCGTCAACTGGTTGTTCACTGACATATTCGTGAGATAGTCTCAGGAATCTACCCTTCCATAAGTGCTTAACCGTATCATTGCATTTATAAGCTTTATTTTCATGATTGCTTTTGTTGTACATGCTCATAATGCACGCTTTCGTATAAAGAAAATTCTCATGATAGAATGTACACAGATTTTCTGCATATTCAGTCAAATTTGATGAGTGTTCCATTTTTAGCTGAGAAAGAACGACAGCTCTTGGGTCCCGTACAAGTTGAATGACTTTCAAATCAATATTGGGTTCTGTCATCAGTTCCTCAAATTCTCCTAAACTGTTCATGCGAACGACTTTTATTGCTGTGTATGAGCTCTGTCGACAGATTTTAGCAAGCTTTCTTGGATCAAAATATTCATTACACTTGTTAGATGTATTAGAACATAGTTTCGAATTTCGAAGCAAGAATTGACTTCTGGCGGCAAAGCATATATTACTCTTACAATTTATCCAACCTCTACATCCGTGCGAGTAAATCTTTGGTGCAATGCGGTAATCACAACGCAGTAAGTCCCCCAGAAGAAGTTTTCTAGTATTCGCCATGTTCATTTCAGATAAACCATGCAATGGTTCAAAAAGATAATAAATTTCGGGATTTCGGTTAAAAAATTCGCCAAAAAACGTTGAACCAGTTCTCATTGCAGAAAAGATAACGACTGCTTTCCTTTTGAATTTTGTGGAAGTTCCTTGCTTGGTAACTCCTTGTTGAGTTGTTGCATTGGCTGCATTGAAATTTGCAAAAAATAATCAATACATCAGCTTGTTTGAAAACGCACTTGGTAATTTGTACACTGTCATTACACACAATTTTAGTGTATTTTACACAATTGTATAAGGTAAGCACATAAACTTGGTTTGAATAATACATTTCAGATAAGGCTAAGAGACATATGGCTACTATAGTACATTTAAATTAGATGTAACTCTGAATTTTGTATGAAACACAGAATAACATCCAGAATCAAGAATTACAGAATAACTGTAACCTCATTGTACCGGTATATGATATGTCATCAAAAATCACAATATTCCTTTGAGCAAATCTCCGCCAATTAACGCGTGGGCTAAAATATTTCCATCGAATCAATATTTTTATATTGGAGGTATTACCGAAATAGTAATAGAAAAACTTGGAGTAGTTTAATATCTCATATTCTAACTGTAAAAATCGATAAAATATACGAACTATTCACATGTATTTGAACATTCACATCCATGGAAATCAAGAAAGTTGATTTTTACCTGTTGCATTGCTCCTATTTTTATCCGGGTTTGGTCCATAAGATTGTTTCTTCTTTGTTTTACTGGTATTCAAGTGAGCGTTAATTTGAATTAATCCAGGTTGATTATGCTTCCATGAAATTGTATGATCCGAAGAACGGGGCCGAGCCATGGCTAAAAAGAGTATAATGCTGAGCACTAATATGCCAAATACCACCTTGCATTTAGAATGAGTGTAGACCATGTTCTGTTGAACTGTATTATATATATATTGTATTCTCTGAAGGTATAAAGTAACTGATATAATAATATATCTACGCAGCAGTACTTTATTGGTATTTAGAAACCTGCAAGCAGCACCGGATTTTGATGGTTGGAGGGCCTAGGCCTAGGCTATGCCCTTAGAATTATAATTAGTAATGTTCAGGCCCATGCGGCTTGCTACAGCTTACTTTGCCTGATGTTGTGTATCCGACCTTGCCTGTATAGCGTTCGCGTTAACTACCGCACTCGTGTTGCTACACTTCAATATCTGGATTTAAATAAACATTTGTGTCAAATTACTAAATAACTTCTAGTCACATTTCTTTCGCGCTGTTCATTTGATTTTTACCGCCCTGAAATTGATAATGTTATCGACTTTGCCGGAAAACCACTATTCTGTTTTCGTACTTTCGAGCAGTATGTTGACTAATTCATTATGGAACCATTCTTTTTCGTGTACATAATAATGAAACTCTATCATGCGTGAACAATTGAAATTTTTCTCGTAAAGGAGAAATACAATCATAATAACCGGTGCGTTGGCCTAATTTTGTCGATTGCAAACTCAGGATTTCCTGTTCAAAAGTTGGTTGCTCATAATATTATTCAACCTCAGTCAACATGACCCGAGTTTCGAAAATTTTGGTTGTTCATCTAACCTGGAAGAATCTTCCCGATGTCTGCATGCCCCTTGTTCTGATCATAAATCTAAAACACTTTAGATAAATCCTTCGCACTCAAGAGTGGGCATGACTATTGTTGTGTACGACTAGATTTTTTGTTTCAGCTTTGCAACTGAAATAATTGTCGCAATGACATAATTCAGACTATAGTCTGGGCAACTTAAAATGCGGGAAATGGGACGGAAAATTTCCAATTCTAAAATGCAGTTGCCGTCGTTCCCGTTTGCCGCATTTTAAAGTTGCGCCAATAGTCTGGAGGTTAAATCTACATATTCTGCAACATATATTCGGTTTAGCACCTGACGGTCGTTCTAATTTATCAAATAAATATCATTTTGTTTACTGCGTTATTTAAAGGTATTGATATCTATTAAGCAGGCGAATGGGGGCAATATGCTGTCAGAAATTAACTATTCATTGTTGGCGGTTTTGGGAACCAATCAACCATATAGATTTACTTTACACGCTTCAAAAACTTCCGGAGTAGGTTTCTGTTACACGAACGCATTCGAAGCAGCACCTCCACAATTAGGCTACTATTATTTAAGGCTTTTAAGCGATATTATTAGTTGGTATTATAAAGTAATAGGATATTAAAACTACCTATTTTTTTGCTTGCTGCTCAAATTCATTATCTTCCTTACTAAGTAATATAATTATTACGTAACTGCTTATTTCATTTGCTGGGTTGTATCAAATCTTTATTTGTAAGATGCCGTGGACATACAAGAGATATTCGCTACAACCCAACTACTAGGTAATACTGCTTTATTGGTGAATGCAGCCGATCTGTGTATTGAGACTTTGAATTATGTACATCGCAATCGCAATATACAATGGCGCACCGCACACGTACGTTTAAAGGTTCTACATGGTTGAACTTCATGTCGCGTTGTTACTACTGTGTTATGGTTCCAACTCAACGGACCTAGTTCAGTTCTTTGGCAGAATAAACCCAACGTTTCAAGTAACAATACAACTTTTCGACTATTTCCGATCTTCAGTGGTATTTGTAATCGTTAAATAAATATCGCCGTTTGTATTAAATAAACGAGACGAAAGCTCGGATAATGAACTATTTTTGTAACTGCTATCCTGCACATGAAAAATAGATGTGAATTACTTGGGGGTAAGTACTTTCGGCAGAAAAAAAAATAACTGTGCTCCCCACATACGCTTAAAACTCTACATATCTGTTTTTGATTGTCGCGAGCACTTTTGCAGGACTTGGATTGACTCCATGTACTTTTGGCATTTAGATGGAAATACTATAAAGCATGTTACAGCCGGAGCATGACTTTCAGAGGCCCCAATCAACTAAGACTTAGGTTTCATATATATAAAAAGTGATAATAATAGGAATGTGACTAGTGTTCCGTGTTATCTGAAATTGAATAAGCAAGTTTCAGTATTTATTACTGATTGAATGCCAAGTTATGCTTAATTTACATGATATTTCTGAAAATAGTCTTAATACCTACAAACATTTATAGAGATTTAAAAATGAGCAAAAATTTATTTTAACCGGGACAATATTGAAGTCTGAGTCGTCACATCAACTCAAATTATTTCATTAAACATTCAGTCGTCATTCAAAACTTGACTATGGAAATCACTGTGATTCCCCTGACCCTAACTGCTCTAATCACATGCTTATATTTTTCAATGGTTAATACAGCTCTGTTGAATACAGATACAACGACGAATGGCGACGCCATAGCGCCTTACATTATCACTATGTTAGGCCTTGGTAATTCCTCGCAGATTTCTCATAGTGTGGCTGTTTTAGGTGACGTCGTTTGTTTTGTTCTTTTCTATTTGCTACTTCACACAAACTTTGTTCCATTGGGTACGGCATTGCAATTGACAAATCCTTGGTTTCTAAATTAAAATGCATTTAAATACGCTCAAGTGATATTTCTCTTTTTTTTGTAGTTGAATAAACGCATCGATGAAGATGAACTATGCATCGCCTACTGCTTCTTGTCGAATACGGAAACTTGATGTTACGTCAACGACCACCCCAGGTTTGCCCGTATGACATAGCACGACTTAGTACCTTAAATGTTTTATTGAGAAGCTTCAATATTGTAATTAATTGTTACGTGATGCGTTTTAAACACCTTTGTGTAAACCACCCATATCAAATAGTATGACGTGTATTACGTCGAAAATAAAACGCAAACCCATAAAATTACTGTTATTGAATTAAAATCAGCTAAAAACTGAAACCATTCCTGCAGAATTAAGCCCTTCATAAAAACTGAAGCAATAATCAACTGCAGCTATTTCCGTAATGGAGTCGACATTTATTTGTTTTTATATGCCCCAACAAATGTATTTCACTTCCATAAATTCATCCATTCCATAAATCGATCCCTCTCGACCGAGTCCGGACTGCTTGTATCCGCCAAATGGCGTCTCGGGAGCGCTGAAAAGACCCTCGTTGATGGAAACAATTCCCGCTTCAATTTTTTCTGATACTCTCCAGCATTGACTCACGTCACCGGAGAATACATAACCAGATAAGCCGGATGTAGTGTCATTTGCTATCGCGATGGCTTCTTCCTCAGTTTCAAATTTTATTATTGGCGCAATTGGTCCAAATGTTTCTTCAAAACAACATTTCATCGATGTTGTTACGCCAGTGATAAGTGTTGGCTCGAACATGTTTTTACCTATTTTACTGCGAGATCCACCGACCACTACTTTTCCTCCTAATTTTACAGCATCTGTTACTTGGTTTTCCACTTTTTGAACAGCTGCCTCATTTATCAGCGGGCCAATCGTTGCTTCTGGTTGCATTCCATGGCCCATAACCAATTCCTTTTCCATTGCCTTCAGTATCGCTGCAACAAATTCGTCGTGTATACCAGATTGTACTAATATTCTGTTGGCACAGACGCAAGTTTGACCTGAATAACGGAACTTGGATGCCATGGCGCCTTTTACGGCATTGCTAATATCAGCTGAGTTGAATACAATTAATGGTGCAAGCCCGCCAAGTTCTAACGACATTTTCTTGACGGTCGAAGCCGCATGTTGCAGAAGTATTTTGCCTGTTGCTGTCGATCCTGTAAATGAGACTGCAGCCACAGAGGGGTGAGTGCACATAATCTTGCCAACTTCAGCAACATTTTCGCGAGATGTGGTGACGACATTGAATACACCTGGCGGAATTCCTGCTTTCTCGCCTAAATTTGCCAAAGCCAATGCTGAATATGGAGTTTCTTCAGAAGGCTTGAGAACCACGGTGCATCCTGCAACCAGAGCCGCACAAGCTTTTCGAGTTATCATCGCAGATGGGAAATTCCAAGGCGTGATCATAGCTGCAACCCCAATCGGTTGTTTAATAGTCATCATTCGCTTCGAGGGATGGGGAGAGGGAATTGTGATACCATAGGTTCTTTTGCCTTCCTCTGCATACCATTCAACAAAGTTAGCGGCAAACATAACCTCCCCTATTGACTGAGCTAAGGGCTTTCCATTTTCAAGAGTAAGTAGTTCACCAAGTGCTCGTTTCTCTTCTACGATAAGCGCAGCCCACTTTTTTAGAATTCCTGCTCGATCTTTTGCTGTCAGTTCTTTCCACGTTTTAAAAGCCTCCGTTGCGGCTTGAATGGCTTCGAGCGCAACTTTCCCATCGCAATCTGCCGATGAACCAATCACTTCGCCAGTAAAAGGATTATAAACTTCAAATGTTTTGCCTGTCGATAGCCATTTTCCGTTAACGTAAGCTTTGTCTGTTATATACGATGTCATATCTGCCTTTGTAATCCTACTACTGTGACAATCTGATACCGGACGTGGTGTTCTAAAACGAATATGTTAGCACACTTTTCGTGTACTCGTTTGCCATCAAAAGCAAACAACCGGCGGCGTGGCGATAAGTCGTCTATTTGCTTTTGTTATGCAATAATCGATAGAAGACATTGCTAGACATACAAACCCACCAGCCAGCATGGCATTCTCGTATGCTTAGTGTTGGCATGTGAAGGGCGATTGCGGACGCGAAAGCATTTGAATCCTCTGAGTTTAGCTTTACATACGCCGTACCTAAATAAATCGTTGGTCACAATTTCATATCTCCAGTTCTCCACGTACGGATATTTGAAAACATTTTTATCTGTTTCGGTTTATTTTTCTGATCTCAATGAGGTGGATCAGGTAACTGCTCCTGCTTTTACGCAACAAATTTCCTTTATGTTGACAAAAGACTGTTTGTATTTTGGGCGATTAACGATCTGTATAAAAAAATCCGAAAAATTCAGTAGAAATGAATCAAATACATTTAGTCAGCGTCAATCGAACGAAAATCAGTTGCGTAAAACAAACAATGATTTCAACTGCATTTCCTATTCTCATCTTCCTTTAAATCACTTTGTATATATCGTGACTTAAAACATATCATACCATTCTATTGGCGCGAAGCGTGACGTTCAAAATCGATTGTTCGCGCAAAAGTTTCGAGAAAATTGGAAGCTCGCGCCTACTGTCTATGATCCACTCATCTTTTCCATCGAACATAACGCTAGTCTTAAATCCCTTTTATTCACGCCCATGCTCACAAAAAGGTTAGCAATGGGTCACGTTTAATGCGATGGTCTTTGACATGGCTGCACGAATGCACCCTCTCTGCCACAGTACATAAAGTTCAACACATATTCGGTCGTACATACGAATTTGGCCTTGCATCGGAAAAAAAACTTTCATTATACAATCTGTAATTTCATTGAATGTAATCCTTTTTCCAAAGGTTTCTACGATTGTGAGGAGATCTGGATAAAAAATACTCATTTGACCAGTTACTGTTAAACGTTCATGGCATCTCCAAGGTTGGCCTATTTTCTGAATTGGGTATTATCGGGTGCGAACCTCGTTAAAGATATTCATGCTATTTATTCTTTATCAGTCTTCGACTATTACCAGAGTTCATATTTTGGAGTATATTTCGGAAGTCAAATATTCATGTACCTAAACATGGTAATTTATGTTGAGCTTGTGGTTCAAATTAATCATATTAATTGACTGAATCATTCAAATTTACTCACATACAAGAATCATTCATTCTCAACCTTCGTGTTTTAAAACATGAAAAAATTATCTGGGCTAGAATATATACAGCGTGGAACGAGATCAGATAGATGGCGCTATCGAGTAACAATTTGTCGTTAATCGGTGAGATATTGATAAAAAGGCATGCAGACAGCAAAATCTTATCCGAAGACGGACGATCAAACTTACATACTCATTTTAAAGTGAGTGGCTACATAAGATAAATTTAAAATGAAACACCTTGGTGATAATGCGTTGCTTCATTTCTTCCCATTGCGTCGTACATCAATTTCATTTCGTTTTTTTTCGTTCTATTATGATAAAATGCGTTTTATTTTTGAAGAGTCGCCTAAGCAATTTATCCGTGATTGTGATGTAACAAATCTAAAGCTAAATGTATTTGACCTTTTTTATTACTCAATGGTTTGCGATAATTTTCGTACCAGCCAAGCGAGGATACAGCACGTTGATGTTGAAGGTGCCTGCGTTGTGCGCTATCGCGAGCTGTAATCACATCTCTCTGATAAGAAACAATAAAGTTTCAAATTTCGATCGGATGATATTTTGTTAAATCAGACTACTTTATAACGCTGAAATTAGTCATATAGAAGGATATGTAACAATTGAAACTAGTAATAGAGGAAAGAATAAAAACTGTTGAGAACCAGCCTAAACGTTTGTTAAACCTTGATCTAATTCAGCTCAACTGGGATGAAATATTTACCGAATGCATTAGATTAGTAGAGGCGTGTCAATTAGCTTAAAAAGCAGTGAGTAAAATATTGAATTTGGCTGAAGCACTAACTGAATATCTGACGATAACGAAAAAGGTTCAAAAGCTAGGGAGCAAAAATCGTATCATCTGGAGGGGGGGGGGGGGCGCACCGTGCTCGACGCATACCTGATTTCACTTTTCCCTTTACAATAAAACTCCCGAAAACCCGAAACTTGATATTATACCATCGCGAAAAATTGGTTGTACGTGAAATCGCTAGGAAAACGTCACGTTGAAAAACATCGCCTTTGAGGGCACGTGACGTATGAGAGAAGAAATCTGATTTCCCTTTTCTCAAATCCCTACACCAAGATAGACTTGAAATGCCAGTTTGAACTCATAATTGTGCGTTGATAGTCGCGACATTTGATAATTTTATTCCACTCTTCCTTAACGACGTCATCCATCATAGACGTTTAATTATACCATAGGATGTCCTTAATATTTATTAGCTCCTATTACATAAAATGGCCATTACCATCAAGTCCGAAATGTCGTAAATTGATTTTAAAATCGTGGAAATATGAATGACAAATGACTAAGTACTATTATAATTTATTTAGCGATATTTTGCGACATATGCAAGGGAAATCCGAATAACAGCCTCGTGCCTCTAATTTAAGAATAATTTATTGGTAAGTAATGAGACGAACAATTACTGCTGGGATAGAAAGGTTTTGGAACTTCATTTTTGATTCCAGCCTTTTCTGGTATACAACGACAAAGATTTGTTCAATGCGTCCTTGTATTGAGAAGTTTTTGAGTAACTGCTTCTGGTATTACAGTTGGTAACAGCAGTGGTGCGAACAGAAGCGTTAATAGGCACTGCAGATACAAACATCTGAATGTATATTTCGTTCATATGTAGTACACGGTGACTTGATGTTACTACAGAAATGAATAATGTCATTTCATCCATGATCCGAATGAAGAAGAACCATTTGCCTGGCAAAAATAGCGTTTAAATTTACCTTATCTTGCTAAAAGTGGTATGTGAATAAAATATTTTACATATTATCAGCCATCAAATGAAGGAAATTGACGTTAACAGTTGAAATATTAATGTGACGATCGTTGGCAGCAGTTACTATTAGTTACGTTATATATTTAACGTTGGTTCCTTCTGTAGGAAATAACATGTCAACTGCCTGTTAGGCACCTTGCTCTATCTTCGATTTACATAACATTTACATTATTGATTGTGTAGTGAAAGCTATAAGTGTGCATACACTTGTAAATCTCGCTAACATTTCAGAAAGCCGCGATGATATAGGGTTCCAGGTATACGAATATGAAATTTGACGATCTACTATTAAGCTAAATAGAAGACTGCTAGTAACTGGTAAGCCACCGTAATCATATGTATTAATCTGTTTTTGTACGATTCAAAACTGATGCTGCTTTAGCTATATGGGAACAAATGCTCTTGTTGGTATAATTTATCAGTCAGTACACTCGTAAAAACTAAAGAAAAACCGTATATTTTATTTGAATATTCAGTAATTTGCACGGCATAAATGTACAATTTTAGTCAGTTTTTGTTGTAAGTATATATGACCTAACCGTAATTATGTCACCTAACCGTAATCAAGTTCTTCTAGATATATTCGTTGCTACTTACAGATTAATGGTGAAATTTATGGTCTGTTTTATTTTCGGTTCAAATATTTTCACAAATGGATTATGTTAGACAAAGTTTGAAATCGTTTTAGTAATAGCTAATTAGTTAGTTGTTTAATGTTTTTATACATTTGCGAGCGTTAAAAATAAAAATTAGTGTGTAAAATATATTGGAAAATACAAATTGCTATTCGGTTTATCGCTAACGAATCAAATGATTTATCTTGCTCATATGTTAGAAGTACAGCATGTCCTTTGGTTAGTTAGTTTAATATCAAGTGTAGCTCTTTAATTTACAAGAACAGCTGTTATACTGCACAATAACGAGGTTGAATCTTATAGGTTCAAATTTGGCTGTATCAACAAAAAAATAAAATGAATAAGACCCATGAAAAAAGATCTACTAAAATATTACAACTTCCTGTTGTCACTGGCTGTTTTTATTGAAAAGATACGTCAAATTTATAATATTATTTGGTGAGATTTCGTCTCGAGTTTCGACGATCAAGTTACACGATGTCACATAATCGTATAGATATTTTCAATGAGATGGAAATATTTTTAATATCTCCCAACCGCTGGGTTCGACCAACACTTTTACTTTCTCATCAACTTTATCGCCCTCGTGGTATTTTTTTGATGAAAATTACTTCGAGAATTCAATCTATCACGGAATCCGCAAAACTACTTTTCAAAGTGAAAGTAAGTCGTTACTGATATATGTGTAAATTACATTAGAAAAAAGATAACATTCTCTCCCACTAGTCATAACACAGTTTAATTCACGGCGAGACATATTTTACAGGTTTGTATTAATACCTACTTGTAACATATTTTAGTAATTCGAGCAGAAAATATGAGAATGTATCATCATCAGCAATAAGTTAAAACAAAAAAATAATATAAAATACCAACCACAATGTTTTTGCCCAAATATCATAATCGAAAGTTGTTAATCCGTATTTCTGATAAATTTGATTGGGTAAAAGCTTAAGCTGTTTGTATATAATCTTAAGAAAAGAAACTTTTTAAAACCTAACTCATTTTCGTGAATTGTTTATATCTAGAAACTTCCGATTTTGCGAACATACTGAAAAAATTTATTAATGACTCTGATACGTCATGACAAAATTATTTTGCTGAATATTTATTAGAGGGATTTGTTACAATGTTTTGCAGATTATAAAAAAATTCTCCTACTGCGTTCAAGTTGAAATAATAAAATAAGAACACCGCAAATGATAGGGAGAAATATTTGGTTTTAAAAGGAGAATTTTCCAGATTTTATTAAAGGAATTATAAAAAAAACTTGTTGATCAAAACAAAAATACCGCATATTATGAAAAAAGAATATTAAAGAATCAAATAATAAAAAATGAGTGGATGAGTATGAAATGAATTTGCTACATTTTATCGATGCGCCGTACAAAATCTATATGCAGTGTAATTGGGGAGGGGGGGGGGG